AAGCTTCAGTTCTTTGAAGGCTCCAGATTTTATATAATTTACGACTTATACTAGCAATGGACTCTTGATGTCGATTGGTTAGGGCAGTGGTTAGGGAGCTAAATCTTTTCTGTTTTCTGAAAGCACGATTTTGAGCTAAACATAGGTGGCGCACCATCCGTACAAACCCCCACAGCCGTTCTAACCCATTTTAATCATCCAGTTTCAAAAAAGATATTTATTTTCTCCATGCTATCTTCACAAAAGAGCAACTCTTTTATCTTTGGTATCATCCGCATGAATATAGACACAGACCAGCAACTGCGAACACGAACTCACGTCTGTTGATTTATCAACTTGAAAAGCAGACAATGGTGAAAGCTTAATTTCAATAAAAAATGTGTTATTTAACATTTACGTACACGCAGCGTTTGATGAGATTTCCTCCTTTTTTTTTTTTTTTTTTTTTTTTTTGCTTGGCATTTTGTATCGCGACTTCATTTGATGCTTGCACTAATGCTGGTGAAAACTTCCTGTTCGATCAAGTCTCTGGCGTTTGCAACTAGCTTCTTACCGACGAAAGAACTTTGTTTCTTCTCTAGTACATTTCCAGTGATGTTAATGAAGCCGAATTTCAAAAATTCTTCTAAAAATTATGTTTTGTTTCAAATTACTAAGGTTTAGTATACCAGTTGGCGACCCCCCAGAAAGACCTTCGCGACCCCCAGGGGGGTCGCGACCCCCAGGTTGGGAACCCGTGTGTTAGGCTATAACTTCTCTAGGTTCTGTTAGGGGTGGAGCGTCTTACGGTAACTCCACTAGGTTTGGTATAGCCTAGAGGTCTAAGTATGATGGAATACATTTCTATACAATTACAATGTAAATAAACAGATCGTTGTGCGCTGTTTTGTTAAAGAATGTTTTCGTGTGGTAAAAATAATCACGTGACACGATTGAGGGTGTCCGTGTTGAAAGGTCATGTGATCTGTGTGATGTTTGCCCAGGCCAGTTGGATATTGGGTCGTGTTGGAATATTTGATGTTTTCAAACAGAAGGGCCGCAAATCTTGCAGCGGTCAGGTTGTCGCTGTTACATGTCGAATGTTTGGCTGTTCATTAGCTGATTGTGGTGTTGCCAATCTTCTTTCTTCTTGGGGAACACTGTTGTAATTAGAACACAGAAAATAAAGTTATGCTTGCTTTCTCTCATAGTCATAGTTTGGTGGTCAGATTGGTTTTACAGACCCTAACGTCCTGTACTTATCCTCCCGTCACCCCCCACCCCCCCAGCGTCCTGTAGTTGTCCTCTCTGCTGCCCCCCCCCCCCCTTCCCTCAACGTCATTTAGTTGTCCTGTGACGTGTGTGATGTTTAGAACAGCCCGACTGTGACGTGTGTGATGTTTAGAACAGCCCGACTCTGTGACGTGTGTGATGTTTAGAACAGCCCGACTCTGTGACGTGTGTGATGTTTAGAACAGCCCGACTGTGACGTGTGTGATGTTTAGAACAGCCCGACTCTGTGACGTGTGTGATGTTTAGAACAGCCCGACTCTGTGACGTGTGTGATGTTTAGAACAGCCGACTGTGACGTGTGTGATGTTTAGAACAGCCCGACTCTGTGACGTGTGTGATGTTTAGAACAGCCCGACTCTGTGACGTGTGTGATGTTTAGAACAGCCCGACTCTGTGACGTGTGTGATGTTTAGAACAGCCCGACTCTGTGACGTGTGTGATGTTTAGAACAGCCCGACTGTGACGTGTGTGATGTTTAGAACAGCCCGACTCTGTGACGTGTGTGATGTTTAGAACAGCCCGACTCTGTGACGTGTGTGATGTTTAGAACAGCCCGACTCTGTGACGTGTGTGATGTTTAGAACAGCCCGACTATGTAGAATTAATTAATGAAACATTCCTACAGCTGCTATTACCCGGGGGTAATCAACTACTTTGAGGGCAATGAACACAAGTCCTAACAAGCTCCTGAGTCATCCCCACTAGCTTATCTAGGCGTCGTCCATAGGGGGAGGGCCCCACTAACTTAGCTAGGCGTCGTCCATAGGGGGAGGGTCCCCCACTAACTTAGCTAGGCGTCGTCCATAGGGGGAGGGCCCCTCAAACTTAGCTAGGCGTCGTCCATAGGGGGAGGGTCCCCCACTAACTTAGCTAGGCGTCGTCCATAGGGGGAGGGTCCCCACTAACTTAGCTAGGCGTCGTCCATAGGGGGAGGGCCCCCACTAACTTAGCTAGGCGTCGTCCATAGGGGGAGGGTCCCCACTAACTTAGCTAGGCGTCGTCCATAGGGGGAGGGTCCCCACTAACTTAGCTAGGCGTCGTCTATAGGGGGAGGGTCCCCACTAACTTAGCTAGGCGTCGTCCATAGGGGGAGGGTCCCCACTAACTTAGCTAGGCGTCGTCCATAGGGGGAGGGTCCCCACTAACTTAGCTAGGCGTCTTCCATAGGGGGAGGGTCCCCACTAACTTAGCTAGGCGTCGTCTATAGGGGGAGGGTCCCCACTAACTTAGCTAGGCGTCGTCCATAGGGGGAGGGTCCCCACTAACTTAGCTAGGCGTCGTCCATAGGGGGAGGGTCCCCACTAACTTAGCTAGGCGTCGTCTATAGGGGGAGGGTCCCCACTAACTTAGCTAGGCGTCGTCTATAGGGGGAGGGTCCCCTCAAACTTAGCTAGGCGTCGTCCATAGGGGGAGGGCCCCTCAAACTTAGCTAGGCGTCGTCCATAGGGGGAGGGCCCCCACTAACTTAGCTAGGCGTCGTCTATAGGGGGAGGGTCCCCTCAAACTTAGCTAGGCGTCGTCCATAGGGGGAGGGCCCCCACTAACTTAGCTAGGCGTCGTCCATAGGGGGAGGGCCCCCACTAACTTAGCTAGGCGTCGTCCATAGGGGGAGGGTCCCCACTAACTTAGCTAGGCGTCGTCCATAGGGGGAGGGTCCCCCACTAACTTAGCTAGGCGTCGTCCATAGGGGGAGGGCCCCCACTAACTTAGCTAGGCGTCATCTATAGGGGGAGGGTCCCCTCAAACTTAGCTAGGCGTCGTCCATAGGGGGAGGGTCCCCACTAACTAAACTAGGCGTCGTCCATGGGGGGGGGGGAGAGACTTGTCACTGGTTAAGGGGACGAAAATGATGAAATTTTACATTATAGTTTTATTGTGGGTTAGTGACGGATGGAGTGGATTTTAGAACGACGTGTAATGAAAAACAAAGGGGGATGGGGGGCGATGGTAAGCTGTAATAGCGTGAAGCCATGTATTGTCGAGCACAGGCCAAAGTGATGTGCAAACATGGGTTGTATGTACCGTCTTCGGGTAGTCAAAGCTGACCCAGGCTGTCATGTTGTGTGGTGACTTTGGACCGCTTGAATGGTGACTGGTGACCACTTGTATGGTGACTGGTGACCACTTATTTGGTGACCACTTGTGTGGTGAGTGGTGACGCATGTTATTTAGGCTCTAGCCGTGGAATGTTAGCACAAGTTGTGTGACACCTCGACATGATCGTCTACGTTGTGGGCACCCAGTCAGATGGTGAGTAAATATGTGGACTCTTATAGCAGGTGTGTGTCTAGCCGGAGATGGACGCGTGCATATCCATAGACAGGCGTGTCCAGCTGTGGATAGAGGCGTGTCTATCCGTAGATAGAGGCGTGTCTATCCGTAGATAGAGGCGTGTCTAATCGTACACGCGCGTCTATCAGTAGTTAGGGGAGGCGTGTCTAGCTATAAATAGTGACTGTGTATTTCCGCGGATAGAGGCGTGCTTTGCGTTGGTAGAGACGTGTAGCCATACATAGAGGCGTGCCTAGCCATACATAGAGGCGTGTCTAGCCATACATAGAGGCGTGCCTAGCCATACATAGAGGCGTGTCTAGCCATACATAGAGGCGTGTCTAGCCATACATAGAGGCGTGTCTAGCCATACATAGAGGCGTGCCTAGCCTATTTCGAGTTGTCTAGGATGATGTTACAGACCCAGGCCCCCTCATGTAACAACACGACCCGGGGCTAGCCTTTGATCCCAGTCAAATGTTATGACAGATGAGACGTGTGACAAGCCTCGAGTTCAGTTTGCCAATCAAAACAGTACCTACACGTGTTGTGATCCCTAGTGAGATTCTAATCGCTAGGTATCTTTAGTTGTATCAGAGCTAGACGGAGATTGTATCCAAGACAACCGATGTATTTAGTGTTCCTAGAGGCTCTAGCACTGGTGTGTTTACCAGAGGATTGTGTATTTATTTCTCTTCTAGTTCTGTGTGTAAAACGTCTCACGCTCACATATGCTTGCCTTATTAGCGCACTACATACACATTAAGATCCTAGGCCAATCTTTAAGATATGAGATGTTAAATTTGCTAATGTGGAGAAACATAATCTAGCTAATCCCACCCCCTCCCCATTTCATTGTCAATTGAAACTCTTGTATTCCATTCAGTTCTCTTCAGGCATGATTGTGTCAAACATGTGTTTAGTTGGGCATTGTCAGATTATTAAAGGTTAACCATTTTTAAACAAAGCAAGACTAGTAGGAAAATAGAATCTAGCAAATACAAAATCAAATTCTGCTATAATAGACTAGAGTCAGGTGGTAAACTTCTGGCAAACAGATGGCAACACTGTCACCTTAACCAATTGTTTAAATATTTAGGACAACACAAATCAATGAGCACAGAGAGAAGTCAGTAAAAATATGAAGGCAAAATGACTAAAACAAACAATCTGTTCATCACTAAAAAGGAAAGGCGGGGATATGAAATTTTAAATTGTTATAAATGTATGCAGTTACAAACCTTAATCTGCTACTCTGTGTGTATCTCTGTGTGTATCTCTGTGTGTCCTTACACTGGTCATCAGTTGCTCATTGTGTAAGTTCTCCAACAGCCTTTTGTTTTGTTTTCAGTCTCTGACATAGAGAAAGTCCATGATGCATATATAATATTGTTTTGTTTTCAGTCTCTGACATAGAGAAAGTCCATGATGCATATATAATATTGTTTTGTTTTCAGTCTCTGACATAGAGAAAGTCCATGATGCGTATATAATAGCAGTAGAAGATGAGGCAAAGAAAAAGTTGGACAGTTTTACATCAGACCAGCAGGTGTGTGCAGTGGATATGAGCTTGGTCCCCTCCACCAGCAGCACTAGCAGCACCCACACTTCCACTGTCTACCAAGTCCCTGAGGCTAAAGAACTCATACTGTCTGTCACCAATTGTACCAGTAAACATTCAGGTACTCAGACTAAACATTCAGGTACTCAGACTAAACATTCAGGTACCCAGGCTAAACATTCAGGTACTCAGACTAAACATTCAGGTACTCAGACTAAACATTCAGGTACTCAGACTAAACATTCAGGTACTCAGACTAAACATTCAGGTACTCAGACTAAACATTCAGGTACTCAGACTAAACATTCAGGTACTCAGACTAAACATTCAGGTACTCAGACTAAACATTCAGGTACTCAGACTAAACATTCAGGTACCCAGGCTAAACATTCAGGTACTCAGACTAAACATCTCATACTGTCTGTCACCAATTGTGCCAGTAAACATTCAGGTACTCAGACTAAACATTCAGGTTCTCAGACTAAACATTCAGGTACTCAGACTAAACATTCAGGTTCTCAGACTAAACATTCAGGTACTCAGACTAAACATTCAGGTACTCAGACTAAACATTCAGGTACCCAGGCTAAACATTCAGGTACTCAGACTAAACATCTCATACTGTCTGTCACCAATTGTGCCAGTAAACATTCAGGTACTCAGACTAAACATTCAGGTTCTCAGACTAAACATTCAGGTACTCAGACTAAACATTCAGGTTCTCAGACTAAACATTCAGGTACTCAGACTAAACATTCAGGTTCTCAGACTAAACATTCAGGTACTCAGACTAAACATTCAGGTACTCAGACTAAACATTCAGGTACTCAGACTAAACATTCAGGTACTCAGACTAAACATTCAGGTACTCAGACTAAACATTCAGGTACTCAGACTAAACATTCATGTACTCAGACTAAACATTCAGGTACTCAGACTAAACATTCAGGTACTCAGACTAAACATTCAGGTACTCAGACTAAACATCTCATACTGTCTGTCACCAATTGTGCCAGTAAACATTCAGGTACTCAGACTAAACATTCAGGTTCTCAGACTAAACATTCAGGTACTCAGACTAAACATTCAGGTTCTCAGACTAAACATTCAGGTACTCAGACTAAACATTCAGGTACTCAGACTAAACATTCAGGTACTCAGACTAAACATTCAGGTTCTCAGACTAAACATTTAGGTACTCAGACTAAACATTCAGGTACTCAGACTAAACATTCAGGTACTCAGACTAAACATTCAGGTACTCAGACTAAACATTCAGGTACTCAGACTAAACATTCAGGTACTCAGACTAAACATTCAGGTTCTCAGACTAAACATTCAGGTACTCAGACTAAACATTCAGGTTCTCAGACTAAACATTCAGGTACTCAGACTAAACATTCAGGTACTCAGACTAAACATTCAGGTACTCAGACTAAACATTCAGGTACTCAGACTAAACATTCAGGTACTCAGACTAAACATTCAGGTACTCAGACTAAACATTCAGGTACTCAGACTAAACATCTCATACTGTCTGTCCCGGGCAGATGAGGCTCGTTAGCTGGGGACAGCAACTCTTCTAGGAGAGACAACTCCAAAATTAAACAACTGCTGCCTTGTAGTTTGTTCTTGGTTGGACAAAGGCTATGGAAGCAAATCCAAAAAGAAAAGCAGGCTGAAATCGGAGTCAATGGCCTCAATGGCGCATAACCAGTTGACACGTAACGCTTAATTGTGTTGGAGGCGTGGTCGAGTCGGCAAAAAGCTCATGGTTGATAAATTTGAACAAAGTCTCGAGTTCAAACGCACTGGCAGATAATTCTCGATCCCCTTCAACACTAATAATTAAGAACGAAGAAGAAGAAAGAAGATACTGTCTGTCACCAATTGTGCCAGTAAACATTCAGGTACCCAGGCTAAACATTCAGGTACTCAGACTAAACATCTCATACTGTCTGTCACCAATTGTGCCAGTAAACATTCAGGTACTCAGCAGACTAAACATCTCATACTGTCTGTCACCAATTGTGCCAGTAAACATTCAGGTACTCAGACTAAACATTCAGGTTCTCAGACTAAACATTCAGGTACTCAGACTAAACATTCAGGTTCTCAGACTAAACATTCAGGTACTCAGACTAAACATTCAGGTTCTCAGACTAAACATTCAGGTACTCAGACTAAACATTCAGGTTCTCAGACTAAACATTCAGGTACTCAGACTAAACATTCAGGTACTCAGACTAAACATTCAGGTACTCAGACTAAACATTCAGGTACTCAGACTAAACATTCAGGTACTCAGACTAAACATTCAGGTACTCAGACTAAACATTCAGGTACTCAGACTAAACATTCAGGTACTCAGACTAAACATTCAGGTACTCAGACTAAACATTCAGGTACTCAGACTAAACATTCAGGTACTCAGACTAAACATCTCATACTGTCTGTCACCAATTGTGCCAGTAAACATTCAGGTACTCAGACTAAACATTCAGGTTCTCAGACTAAACATTCAGGTACTCAGACTAAACATTCAGGTTCTCAGACTAAACATTCAGGTACTCAGACTAAACATTCAGGTACTCAGACTAAACATTCAGGTACTCAGACTAAACATTCAGGTACTCAGACTAAACATTCAGGTACTCAGACTAAACATTCAGGTACTCAGACTAAACATTCAGGTACTCAGACTAAACATTCAGGTACTCAGACTAAACATTCAGGTTCTCAGACTAAACATTCAGGTACTCAGACTAAACATTCAGGTACTCAGACTAAACATTCAGGTACTCAGACTAAACATTCAGGTACTCAGACTAAACATTCAGGTACTCAGACTAAACATCTCAAACTGTTTATGACTTTGTATCTATATAGATGTAGATGTAGATATTTCAGTAAAGCAGCTCCTCTATTGGACCTGATGATCCTTTTGTATGTTTCCTGACCTGGGTATATGAAGGGGTGGTGTGGTCAGCACTATTTCCAGCTGCCTTTACTTTCCCTAGTGGTAGTTAGTACGTACCAACCATAGCTGTGAGTTAGGCACCAACTATAGCTGTGAGTAAGGTACCAACCATAGCTGTGAGTTAGGTACCAACCATAGCTGTGAGTTAGGTACCAACCATAGCTGTGAGTTAAGTACCAACCATAGCTGTGAGTTAGGCACCAACTATAGCTGTGAGTAAGGTACCAACCATAGCTGTGAGTTAGGCACCAACCATAGCTGGGTGGACTAAATGTCCATGTATCCACAGCTCCCATGCCAGGAGAGAAGAAAAAGAGCAGCAATGGACACACCTCTCCACACAGGGAGTCCAGTAGCAACAATGGAGAGTGGGTAGAGATGAATGGTTTCAGGGATCAGGAAGTAACAACTAAAGGCAAAGGTAACTCACTTTATACAATCTTTATTTGAGAGTTTTATAATATCAAGGTAATTTGGAGGATAGTAGGGTAAAAAAAACCTGTTCTACTTTTACCTGTCAACTGGTTACATTTCAGGTAAATACCGCAACATTGATGACAGTCCTGACTCTCCTATCATAAATGACTTTTTAACAAACGGCTCAGCAAACATGAGCAACAAAAATGACTTTGACAGCCATCTTGGCAGATACAGCAATGGCGGCCACACCCAGCTCAGCTATGACAGCAGGGACAGCTCGTTTGATCAAGATCTTGATGACCCTGGCCCACATCGGGAAATGGCCATCGATGTTCCAGAAAATTTTGTGGCAAGTGTTAAGTCACCTCCACGCTACCCCCCACCCATGCCTCGGTCTCACCCTGTGACCTCACCAACAAAGGCTAAGGTGGACAACTCACAAACTAACTCTAAGAACATTAACTCCAAGGCTAAGTCAAGTAATCAGCCTGCCATTCAGCCCACACCGCAAGAACTGGAACGATTACATCGACACCAAGAAGATTTAAAGGTAACAATTTTATGTCACACGGATGAATTATGGTTATTGTTGCTTATTTTCATTTCCATTCTTCAAATATTTTCTTTTAGCCTTTAAAAAAATGTATTTAGTTAGGGTGTCTTTTAGGGTGATTTTTGAAATGACTATAATGCTCTGACTGAAACGGTGGGTTAGTTTTTAAGAATGTTGTTGTGATAGACTGTTCAGTACAAATGTGTCGTCTGCCAGAGGTCTTCCTATTCAAATACACTATATATTGTGGCTTAGTGTTGGTTGTCGACTTGATCGAGTTATTTTCACAAATTTTCTTTAGGGTCAGAAATATCTTTAACAGTTAAAATTAGTTTATTATGGCAGGGCATTTAATTTTTTTATCATCGAACAAAGTTTGAGAATATGAAAAAAAAATATTTTTATACTATGAGACATTAGTTGTTACATTATCTTGCTCTACCTTGTATGGAAAGTGCATTGCAAACATTTATTGCTGTAGTCTAATAAAATTTGTTGTAGAATTTGCTTGTAAAACTAATTTTGAAATAACCGCTCAATTTAGTAAAAAACAAAAAGGTGGATTGGTCTTTTCTGGTAACCATCATTACCAAGGCAATTGCTTTAATAAGTAGGTCAAGAGACATCCTATATTTAGTTTTTGTAAAGAGATTTAAAAGTGTTCAGTAGCCTATGATGGATATAAAGAAGGTATATTCTGTATGTTTAAACTAGAAACGACGGGAAGAGGAACAAAGACAGCAAGCAGAGCAGGAATTCTTGAGGGCATCTTTACGTGGCTCTAAGAAGCTGCAAGCTTTAGAAAACAAGCGGCCATTAGGCCCAGCACCCTCTGGTTTTGTCAATACAGCATTTGATGATGAGGATGATGATGAGGATGAAGAAGGGTTGGATGACACTGTGGACAAGTCTCATTTAACACAGTCTTCTGATGGCATGGTTGAGGAGCGGTACCTGAAAAAAAATATTTGTGAGTGCTAGAAACTAACTCAAAGAAAGTTAACAATTTCTTAAGATGTTTATCTCTAACAAAAATGTAAATCATAGCAGTAATGAATAATATTTTTATGGCAGTAATGACTAGAACTTTAATTGCAGTAGTGACTAATACACTTGTTTATTGTTGCCTGTTTTAGGTGTAGAAGATTTATTCTCAAGTCTTCATCATATTAGAAATTCTCTGAGCAGCCATGAAGATCAAAAATATATTTCACTTGTGCGCATGCTCTTTCAAAAAGACCAGTTTCAGAGAGCAGTCAACATCCATAATCAGGTGAGTTGGTACCAGCAGATGCCCTGAGTTGAATGTTTTACAGATGGTGGAGATAACATCACAGTTTCCCCCCCCCCCCCCCCCCCCCCACCCATTAGTTGGCCTGAGTTTGTTGGTCCCACACATCAGTTGACCTTAGGTCCCACCCATCAGTTGACCTTAGGTCCCACCCACCCATAGTTGACCTTAGGTCCCACCCATAGTTGACCTTAGGTCCCACCCATAGTTGACCTTAGGTCCCATCCATCAGCTGACCTTAGGTCCCACCCTCAGTTGACTTTAGGTCCCACCCATAGTTGACTTTAGGTCCCACCCACCAGTTGACCTGAGTTTGTTGAATGTTCTACAGATGGTGGAGATAACATCCCGGTCCCCGCCCATCAAGCCAGTCACAGATGACACAAGAAAACTTGTGGATGACCTGAGACGGCTGACAGACCACACAGCCAAGAATTCTTATGCACAGGAGCTGAATGCCTTAATGAACAAAACACATTTGAGGGTATCTCAACTTCTTTATCATTTACATTTCATTGTTTAGGATACATTTTATGTTTATTAAAACATCAAATCTGTGCATAAACAATTATAAAAGAAATGGTTTGAGAAATTTTAAAAATATTACTTAATAGCATACTGGAAGCCCACAAGATTGTGGCCCAGCACACATTACAAACAATATTTAAATTCTTGCTTACAGAGCCTACTGGAAGCCCACGATATAGTGGCCCACCAAACGTTGCAAGCAATAGAAAACATAGACCTGTCCGGGGAACCTCTGGATTACCCTCTGGTCCAGTATGGGGAGGACAGTGTCAAGATCATCCACCTGGAGAAAACTAATGAACATTTGGTACAGAAATATTTCTTTTAGCTGGCTAGCTACATTCATTTCAATGTAAAGTCATTTATTTCATGTTCTAAATTTAGAGTTGATAAGTTTTTAAGTTGGTCACATAATCTGTTTATAGGGAGCCACTGTGAAGAATGAAGGGGAGTCGGTTATTATTGCCCGCATAGTCAAGGGCGGAGCTGCAGAGAAAAGTGGTAACTACTTACCTGCAGTTATTTTGTTGATTGGTTAATTAACCTCAATAGCCTAAGGACTTGTAGAAAGTAAATGAACATTGATTATGTTACAGGTTTGTTGCACGAGGGAGATGAAATTCTGGAAGTCAATGGCATTGACATGAGAGGCAAGAACATCAATGATGTTTCAGAGATGTTGGTGAGTGTGCTTGTGAATATCTGGCCAAACATTGGTTTATGTTCAGCTGCTTCAACATGGATTACATTTTCTATATTGTCTATGTATCAATTAGCTTGAAATTTTAAATTTTGTAATAAAGTTGTAACTTTACCCTAGGCCAATATGTCTGGTACAATCACCTTCATGATCATCCCAGGCCATCATCCAATCACAGAGAATGTTCAGCGTTTGAATAGTGTGGTTAGTACTGCTCTCATACTGTATTCTTATTCTTACTAATTATTGTCTTGTGTGATGTAAATTATTTGTGTAACTTAATTGAAAGTAATGTGATTTTAGTATGTTACTTTCTCCAGATGCACTTGCGAGCTCTTTTCTCATATGACCCTGAGGATGACCCATATATTCCATGCCGTGAACTTGGGATTAGCTTTCTAAGAGGTGACATACTGCATGCAATAGCACTGGATGACCCTAACTGGTGGCAAGCTTTCAGGGAGGGGGAGGAAGAGGACCAGTCACTGGCTGGATTAATTCCTAGCAAATCTTTCACAGAACAGTGAGCACACACTCTTTTCTTACCCCATCTGTCATACTTTTAACACCAAACTTTTGCTTCAAGGGGATTTTTCTTGATGTGTACTTTATTTTTTCAGACGAGAAGCTATGAAAAATTCCTTGGAAAATAAAGAAAATAAACGCAAGGGTAGAGTCTGTGCATGTGGAAGAAAAGAAAGAAAGAAGAGGAAAAAAAAGAAGCTTCTCTACAATGGTTCCTCAGAAGGTAACCCCAGTGAGAGCATTATTATGTCTGATAGCAAGTTATGTTTAAATCAGCCTGTTTAACACATGAACCTTTGATCAACAGACAGTGAAGAAATTTTGACCTATGAGGAAATTGCCAAGTATTATCCTCAACCCAATAGGAAAAGACCTATTGTCTTGATTGGACCATCAAATGTTGGACGCAATGAACTGCAGCACAGACTGCTAGACACTGATCCAGACAGATTTGGAACTCCAGTTCCACGTAGGTTTAGATATTTTTCTTTTAATTGCTTCTAATAAAGTGTAGACACATGGATGTGTATGTACAAATGAACTGCACCATATTATATTATTAATTTTTCAAGAGATTTTATTATAATAAACTTTAGTTAAACATAAAAAAAACTATACAAAGAAACGTTTTTGATTAGACACGACCCGCCCACCACGAGCAAACGAGGCAGTCCTGACATATCATCACATCACAAAGGAAGAATTCAACTTGATGGTCCAGCAGAACCACTTTGTTGAGTATGGTGAGCACCAGAAGTGCCAGTACGGCACATCATTTGATGCCATCAGAGATGTCATATCGTTAGGCAAGGTTTGCCTGCTAAAGCAGCAGCCAGAGGTACTTACATTTGATGTGCTTGTAAACAGCTTGTATTATTCAATTTCAATAAAGCTAAGCAGCAATCTAATTGGATGACTGTATTTTTCAGACTCTAAAAGTTATGCGGTCATCTGATTTGAAGCCCTATATAATATTTGTCCGCCCCCCAAATCTGGACAAATTAAGACAGTTACAAGAGCAGTTGGACAAAGTTCGACCACTGGTGAGTGTGGTGTCAGAGATTATGGGTGTAGGATTGGCAATGGGGTGGTGTAGATTGTAGGATTGGCAATGGGGTGGTGTAGATTGTAGGTGTAGGATTGGCAATGCACTTGACCATATTAATTAGATAATGACAGAGTTAATGGACGTAGGATGTTTTAGAATTAGATGTTGTTTTTGAAGAAGACATGAATGAGGGTGTAGTTCCTATGCCAGTTCTTGACCTGGATTAAACAGACGGAATGTGACCTAGTGGGACAGATCATTAATTGGGTCTGGCAAAGTAATTAAATTTCATAGAAATATGCCCATTATGGATTTAAAAGATGGGCTAATAGCAAGAATAAGTAAGTAGCTGAAAATAGAAATCCTGGTAGCAAATTATTTGTCAATTTTAAAATGGCAGTCTGTATGTAAGAGATGTACTGAATAAATTTGTATTGAAGTACTGGTTTTAAATTTCAGGAGGACATGGACACCAGAAGGACAGTTTTTTCTGTAAGTTTTTTAACTCAGCTCTCATGTATCATGTAGCTAGTGAAGTGTAGTTTTTTAACTCAGCTCTCATGTATCATGTAGCTAGTGAAGTGTAGTTTTTTAACTCAGCACTCATGTATCATGTCGCCAGTGAGGTGTAGTTTTTCTCTAAGTTTTTTAACTCAGCTCTCATGTATCATGTCGCCAGTGAGGTGTAGTTTTTTCTGTAAGTTTTTTAACTCAGCTCTCATGTCTGACGTAGCCAGTGAGGTGTAGTTTTTCTCTAAGTTTTTTAACTCAGCACTCATGTATCATGTCGCCAGTGAGGTGTAGTTTTTCTCTAAGTTTTTTAACTCAGCTCTCATGTATCATGTCGCCAGTGAGGTGTAGTTTTTTCTGTAAGTTTTTTAACTCAGCTCTCATGTCTGACGTAGCCAGTGAGGTGTAGTTTTTCTCTAAGTTTTTTAACTCAGCTCTCATGTATCATGTCGCCAGTGAGGTGTAGTTTTTTCTGTAAGTTTTTTAACTCAGCTCTCATGTATTTCGTAGCCAGTGAGGTGTAGCATACCAATGGTTTAGGTTAATAACAAGTATCTGTATGAACTCAGTACTGCAGTTTTCTAATGCTCCCTTTCCACTTCTATCTAGGATGAACAGCTGAAGGAAATAATTGACAAGGCACGTGAGATGGAGGATCTTTATGGACATCTGTTTGACTTTGTTCTGGTCAATGTTGATCTGGACAGGGCTTATGCTGAGCTACTGGAGGAAATTAACAGAATAGAAATTGAACCCCAGTGGGTCCCTGCGTCCTGGATTGAACACTTGTGATATGTTTCCTTCAAAGAGGTCTTTGTTGAGTAGGAGGAGCTGAAGGGACAGACAACTGTTGGGAGAAATAAACTTTGTGGTGCCTTGTGTTTGAGCTCAGATTTGGTCAAAAGTTTTATACCTTGTACAGTTGAACAAATTATCATTTATCATGCATTTACCCAACCTTTTAAGGAAAAAATACTCTTTTTTAACCTGTTGTTGAAGTCGGAAAATCAGACCTGAATCATGTGACTGCCTGTAAACAAAGGGGCGTGGTCATTGCTACCATAGTTTCCTATGTAACTGTTTTGTCCAGAAGTCTATTTTAACAGCATTCCTTTCTTTCTCCTTTTAAAATTCCAAATTTATTTGGAATAATAACTTTGTCACAAAACTTAAGTTTCTCAACTCTTGTGTATTTTATTTCTACATAACATTGTTTTGTTACTCATGAAATTTTCACCTGGTCAAATCAATATTTATTTATATAATACATTTTATACACTGATTCATTCAAACAGTTACTCTGTAAATATTGTGTTTTTATCAAATGGAATCATTTCTTAAGCAGTGACTATTTCAAGCAAAGCAATTTAATCAGCTAAAATTTGTAATTCAGAATTTACTTTACCATTACAACCATTTTTAGTGAACTCAGCTTGCTAATATCAATATACTAATATAACAAAGTAGAATATCTTAATTTTTTTGTTTTGATTAAAACTTAATGAGTTTGGGACTATCATTTAAAAATTGGTACAGTTAAAATCTTCACTCATGAACCTATTGTCTATGTGGGAGTAAAAAAAATGTCATTTTAAACTGCTCATTAGTTTTATATTACAACGTTGAGTAATAGTAATTACAATGCATAAAAATATTTCTTTTTCTATGGCAGCGACACTGGCAGATATAGCCTAGACACAATGGTTGTGGATCCCTGCTTAAAAGTTCCGTTATAAGATACTTAACATGTTCTTTTAAATTCAAGAAGTTTAACTATGTATATAAGGTCACACAACTTATGTATTATAACCTAATTTAAATTATTTTTTTTACACATGTATCACAGATTTTCAAAACTTGCAAACAGTAGGGAATTGTATTATAGGATGAAGGATGCCAAGTGCAATAGAAAATCTTTTCATTGTAGACCATTAGGCTTAGGCTGACCTCAACAAATTAGTGAGCATTTATAATGAATTGTACTAAAGCTAGTTGTGAAAAGATGGCCAGAAATACCTTTGGTTGTGACCTACGTTCCCTCTAAGGGTAAATAGCTAGTCTACAACGTGTATTTTGTGTGCGCTGTGTTCTAAAAGTCTTGTACAAGAATATATATATTTTGGAAAACTACTGCTCGGCAGTCCAAAACAACTGCTGGCCGCACAGCTTAGAGTGAACATTGGTTGTGACATGACCTGTGATAATAGACACCGGTATGTAAAGTCACAAATCACTTTTATTGAAGAAAGCTGTACTTTAAAATAATTTGATTATTCTAAATATATTTTTTACTGTAGGCTACTTACATTCATCATTACAGCAGTGTATTATATTAGGTATCATGCACACATTATATACGTTTGGGAGGGAGGGGGGTTCTTTAGATTTTTTTTTGTCTTTATATTATTTTAGCAGTATAGAATAATTGGATGTCGTGATTGAACAAGTTGACATTTCTCATTTTCTCCAAAAAAGTGCTAAGATTCACTTTACATTTTATTTAGAGCACACATATTTGATGAAATGGTATAAAATATAAGGGTGTTGAGTAAAAAAAAATATCACATTTTAGTGTTAATCTGTTAAATATGTGCAAGATTCCTAAAGCTGATTTATTTTCTTAAAGAAATAGGGTAATTATACACAAGCTTCTGTGCTTTTGAAGTACAGAAATGGACAGATAAAATGGATGAATATTTTAAAGTATGCAAGCTTTTAAAACTCCTTTAGTAGCTGCTTCTAAAAATGCAACATTTAATTCAGTTCATGCTTGAAAATAGTATTGAAAGAATATTCTCCTGTGATTTAATGTCTGGACTATTTTATAGGGGTGATGTCAGTAATCACTGGAGTTTTCAGTCTAGAATAAGTTTGTATTGGAGGCTATCCTTGTTTTATATTCACTCACTAGTAAACAGATCAGTAGTAAACAGCAAGGTGATGTTATTTTAACATTTGCTGTAGATGTTATTTTAACATTTGCTGAAGTTGATGTTATTTTAACATTTGCTGTAGATGTTATTTTAACATTTGCTGTAGGTGATGTTATTTTAACATTTGCTGTAGATGTTATTTTAACATTTGCTGTTGGTGATGTTATTTTAACATTTGCTGTAGGTGATGTTACTTTAACATTTGCTGTAGGTGATGTTATTTTAACATTTGCTGAAGTTGATGTTATTTTTAACATTTGCTGTAGATGTTGTTTTAACATTTGCTGTAGGTGATGTTATTTTTAACATTTGCTGTAGATGTTATTTTACATTTGATGTAGGTGAGTGATGTTAATTCAACATTTCATCTTGATATATTTTAACATTAGTTTGCCTTAAAAATTTCTAATGCTTTTAAAATGTTTTGTAATATACTGTGTAATATATGTATATAAAAAAATCAAAGTGTTGATATTAAACTATTTAGTAGGTGTGCACATATTTGTATTTCCCATATTACTGGTGGGTCATTAGCAAACTCGAAAGGTCTGACAATGAAAGTTTGGAAACTGTCATGGAGTCCACCAATGCCATTTTGAACTGTCATGCTGTTATGTGCCTAAATGTAGTCTTTTTACTTATATATACATCAAACACCATTTTTTTAAATTGAAAAGTTATCCCATGTGGAATGTCAACTTCATCCTCCGTTTATTATTGTTTTACTAAACACTGGTACATAACCCAGATTTGTGACTTAAGTTATAACAATCACATTAGGACTTGAACTTAGTCATGCCATATTTTATCAGATTTTCTGAATTTAGTTGTGTCATGTATTATAGGAGAGATGGTTAAGTTGTTCATGTCTTGTGTTATATGAGAGATAAAGTGAGTCATGTCGTGTTATACGAGATGTCATTAGAGTATGATCACATGAATGATGTCTGTCTGTAGAGTAGAATCCTGTGTATGGCATGTGTTTGATGTTTCAGAATTTATAAACCAAAGATATCCAGCGTACTAAGGTTTTTATTTGCTAGAGAAATCTTAAAACTAATTAAGCTGTCTTCCAAATGATTGTCTCAAATTTGCACAGACTAAAACATTTAGCATGTAACCTGTGGATTTGTTTCTACCAGTTTTGTTCCTAACAGGGTTTTTGTTTTAATATTTACTGTAACATAAAAAATGTAAACATTTAATGGTATTTGTTGCTGTTAAGTTAAAAAGAATCGTAAAATCTTAAAAGGCCTATTCTTTTTATTACTTGGGGTTGAATACCACTTGCATTTTGAAAGCTACAATTGTGTTATTCCATCTTTTGGCTGTTATATCAGAAGCAGCTAACTCAATTAAGATCAATTGTCCACAATTATATTAGCTTTGATAGGGACTTGCACAGAAATGAAGAGGACCTGCTTCATCCCTTCCATGAGCATCCAGAATTGCTTGAACCCTTAGCTGAATTATTGTCAACAGTTATTTTTGTATTTTTTTCTCCCACCTCACTGTGTAGATGTAACATTCCAAATATTAGAACAAAATACTCCTTAGTGATGCTATTTATTTTGTAGACTTTTGCACGACTCTTTGTTCTACTGCCCCTTGTAATCAGAAAGTGTTGTTTGTTTGAAATATCTACCATGTGAATTGTTTGATATTTGAATCATTATTCAAATATTTCAGTGATCCATTTACAGGAGAGCATATCAAATGTTGTATCCATGATTAATAAAATCATAACTATATAAAACAATAAAAATGACTCAAATAACATTACATCTTGTTTTTATTTTAAATCTAAATTACTTGTTAACAAAATTTTTCTAAAAAATTCATAAAAAACGTTTTAATAACAAGCTTTTATGTAATGATGCACTAAAAAGTAGAAAATAAATTATAGACTACTATTTAAATAACTATAAAGAAAAGCGTGGGTCACTTTAGTATCTATTGGATACCTTTACTAATGTTAAGGAAGACACCCACGCTTTTCTTTATAGTTATTTAAATAGTAGTCTATAATTTATTTTCTACTTTTTAGTGCATCATTACATAAAAGCTTGTTATTAAAACGTTTTTTATGAATTTTTTTTTCAGTACTTTACATGTTTTATTTACAATAGAGTTACATGACTAAAAACCATTGCGCGCCTACTGAACATCACGTTCAGTAGGCGCGCAATGGTTTTTGAACGCAGCCATTACGTGATGGCGCAGCTATTGAAGGTGATGACGCGTGTGGTGTGGTTGGCTAGACATGCCTACTAATTCGGTCCAAATTTTAATTAATTCATAAAAAATTAATTAGGCATCCAATTAAGTCAAATTTAGTTTCAGATTGCATTGTCTTCATGTCTTGACCCACGTGCCAACTGTGAATCGTATCGGTCAAGTAGAACTGTCCGAATTTTCACTCCTGCGTTTCCGTCTAGACAGACTGACGACAGACAGAGGAAGTGAGTTAAATAAAAGCTTGTAATAAAAAAGTGGTAGATACAGGTAAGGGAGATACAACAGCTCCAAATAGACTAGCTTCAAGCACTTCCTAATTCATCAGTTTGAGAAACTTAAGCGACCTACAGCCATAGATAAATGAGGCTAACACCTTGACCTACAGCCATAGCCAAATGAGGCTAACACCCCACTAACATTGTCAGCCCTTGGTGATTGAATGTATGAGACAACATTCACTGTGCCATGTGGTCTAATAAAAGCAGGCAAACACTTTTAAGTTTTGTATCAAAAGTTTTTAATGAAACAAAAAGAAATGAGTTAATTCAGTTTTTCTTTTTTTTCTTAAAGTTTTCAGGCAGATTTTCCAGCACCTGAGGTATCTTCTCGATGAGCTCCTCCTTGCTAAGTGTGTACCTGCTGTCTTTCCAAATCTTTCTCAGCTCATTAAGTGTGGAAGCAAACTTTGGCCCACGAGGAACATTATTTTGTGTCAAGTCATGTCCGGACACCGGCAACTGTGGCAATTTGACACTAGGAAATTCTTCAGCCATTTTGTGCTAAAAGTAAACAACAGAGCGTGTTCAGTTGAAGTGTGACGTTTTTTACAGCATCAGAAATATCATTCCACTTGTTTTATCTTTTATTAAATGGGGTATAGACATATGCCTAAATGCTCAAATGGACTATTGCCCCAGAAATTTAGAAAAACATTTTATGCATCAAAATTTATGCACATAATTTTGGAAAAATTAAACTTTTTTTTGTGTGGAGTTATTTGCTTTTGTGTTTTAAGAAATTTGTATTATAAAATGTGTGAAATGAAAAAAAAAAATTTTTAATGAATTTTTACCTAAGATTTTATATTAAAGTCTATAATTCATAACATTATTGGATAATCGCTTAATTAAACACATTGTTAAAGAAGGTATGTTGAATGGTAATTAAATAATTCTCAAGTCACAGAATGTATGTATTCTAAAACTCTATATGTCTTGGAAAAATTGCATTTTTTTACTTTGATATATCTGTAAAATCTTCTGATATAATATTTTTTTAATTCAATTATAATTGAATAAAAATTATATATAATTTTTATTATAAAAAAACCTGTTTCTATTTTACAGCAATTTCTCAATATTTAAAAATAAAACTAAATTTTAAAAACATGAACACATCTGTTTCTGTCTGCTTAGAACTGTGACAATCATCAATATGTCAATACCAATTCTTTAAGAACTTGCATTGATAATATATAATAATATAATTTTTTTTTGGCAAACTGTCTGGGCATATGGCTTTTGGGCTTTATTGCCATTCAGGCAAAAACCCATTTGGGAGAACAGCCTTCAGGGAAAGGACATTCCTGCAAATGTCTCAGACAATGTCCCATTTCAAAGAAAAGTCATGTTTTTATAACAGTATTAAAAGCTTGATATCATACCCAAGAAGTAGATAAATGCAACTTACATGACCACAATATTTCATTAATTCAACTATTTTGTTGGTGACTTTGGTATCTCCACCACTGGAATCTGTGTGCAAATCTATGCAGTAGCTCTGCAGGTCGTCTTCCATCTTGTCTCCACGGTGTTTAACAATAAATAAAGCCATTGCAAGTTCCTCATTGGATAATTTATTTCTTTCATGCAACTTATATACCTGTGAAAGAAATTCATTAAATTAAGCCATGAGCAATATAACTTAACAATTCATGAGCAATATAACTTAACAATTCATGAGCAATATAACTTAACAATTCATGAGCAATATAACTTAATTCATGAGCAATATAACTCAACAATTCATGAACAATATAACTTAACAATTCATGAGCAATATAACTTAACAATTCATGAGCAATATAACTTAACAATTCATGAGCAATATAACTTAACAATTATCAGGTTAAAACAAAGGGTGTTCTAATACAATAAGTTACAGGTAATCCAATAGTGGCAATAAATTAAAAAAATAAAATTAAACCTACGTCAGCTTCGTCATCTAACAACGCTGTCATCCTGGTCATGTGATGATATGAAACGTCTTCAGTCCTCTCACATACCAAATACAACTCTCTAAAATTTGACGCTTTCTGCAAACCTTGGCAAATACAAACTTAGTTTTAATATTACTAGTCAGTTTTTTGTTTTACTTTAAGTTAACATTAGTATAGACAAGTTCAACATTGAAACAGTAATCTTTTTACCAATATATTGACCAATGCCCAGTTCAATCATTAATTTTAAAATGTGTGCTGTCATTCTACCACAAAGTATTTTTCTGATTTCAACCCATATTCTTTCACCAGAAATATCTGAAATATAGACAGGTATATCAGATAAGGGGAAAAACAATCAATGAAGGCCTACTCAAATCCATATTTTAAATTTGACATTTTACAAAAGCCCTAATTTGAAGTGATTTGCATCAGATGTAACTTTTAACAAGTATATACACAATATTTTTTTTTAAATTAACAAAAGAGCAGTTTCAAAAACTTTTACTAGACAACTCATCAACGTCAGACAGACAATTATAAAGGTAGTGACTAAGGAAAGGAACAAAATATACTCTCATTTTAATCCGTAAAGCTGACACCACCCCCTCCAATTTTTTTTTGAACAGACAGGCTAATGCTGACCCTCATAAACAACAGGCTAAACTTTTAAGTGATCCAATTTGTCTAGAACAACTAAAAACTTCCAACAAGTTTTACATTAAATACCACAAATTCAGAAAAATATGCAATTGGAAAAATGCACAACGAAAACTGTGAAACAGCAAAATGCTCAAATACAAACTAATTATACTAGTACATTTTAATTTTCTCTTATTTTATTAAATGTGTTTTATTATGCTACAATGTATATGTTGTCAATCTTTGTTAATATCTATAAATGCTCGATAAAAAAATTCCCTTGTGCGCTTTTTTTTGCGCAGTTTTCTGTTGTGGATCTTTCACCCACAACATCATGTACAATATCTATTTGTGTACTATTTTGACATAAGATCTCTTCTAATAACAACTTACATTGTACTACTGAGATTTTTACTACACATTATGCTCTTATTCCTCTAGTATAAACTATGACCCAAGCACAATCGCTGGCTCATGTCGACCAACTTTATCATTTGTCTATTTACACAAGGAAACTTAAGATCCCCTTTAAACTACACATTTTATCAAGACATTTGTTTCAAAATAAATCATAATCCTATACTTAAGACAGGTGGTCTAATATACAACCATCACTAAACTCTAAGAGATAAAAGCTGTACAGAACAATGCTTTACTTGCTAAGCCTGCTGCATTCTCTCTTATAGCATCCAGAGTAACCTGCTCATGATTGTCAGGATCTGGAGCAAGCCGACCATAAAACCTAAAAGTGAAATAGTTTTAAAAATTTTATACTTTAAAATAAATTTGTAGAGGAAAATAGAATAATATTATTATTTTAAAACTGACTTTAAAATGAATGGAAGATGTAAATAATGATTCAAGTACCGGAAATAACGAAGTATCCGAAGGTAGTCTTCTCTAATTCTTTGCTCAGGACTTCCAACAAAACGAATACGCTTGTTTTTCAAATCATCTAACCCATTGAAATAATCATAAACTGTTCCATCATAACCTAAACAAAAGCAATTTTAAAAAATCATTTAACCCATTGAATAAACCATATAAAAAATGATTTTCCCTTTTTGAACCTCACAGCCTGTGGGGTAAGTGAAGTAGAGTTCACCTGTTTCTGTGACCTTGGGATATGAGGGGATAGTGTGGTGACTTTACTTTCCCTATCCTGAGTGGGTTACCCGTCAGAGCTGGGTGGTCTCAGGGTCGTTCTATTAACTTAAACCAGGATTTGAACTTGAGACTTTTGGGTTAGCAGTCTAGTGTTTTTCATCCCCTTCATATAATATAACCCATTGAAATGATCATGAACTGTTCCATCAAAGCCTAATGTAGAAAAAAAAATGTATTTTTCTAATTTAAAATAATTGAACACATGATATGATAAAGACTGCTGGAAAACTAAAAAAGCCTTTAATAGTTACCCAAAAACATGGAGTTAACTGTCAGATCTCGTCTATTTGCATCGAGTTCCCAATCCTTAGTGTATTCAACTTTTGCTCTCCTTCCATCTGTGACTACATCTATTCTTAAAGTCGTTATCTCATAGTTCACCTACACATACAACAATAACAAAGTTAACATCCATGCATTATGAATCATTCTAAAATGCTGAGTTTTGTTCTAATTATCATTGAAGTTATATAGATAATAATAGAATGTGCAGCCATCTTACTAGACCTCATGTTTTACACTTCGGCTTTAGAAGACAGAGTGGGCTTTTTAAACATTTGGCTTTATCACTTTATCGCACATTTTTCATCTTAGGAAAGTCATACACAATGTACAATTATCTAGAAGAAGTTCAAAGTAACTGATCTAGAAAGACTCATAAATCATACAAATAATAAGTGTTTGATTGTTAACTTTTTGTTAACACTTCATGTTTAATGATAAAATTTGATATCCAATCCAACTTACTTTATCATTTATTCTTGCTGTTATAGTTCCATGAGCTTCACCATTCTTGTTCAGCATTCGAACTTGCTCTTTGGTAAACATTTCTTTCATCTGACAAGGTGTTGCAGTAGTGGCAAAGTCCATGTCCGTGGGTACAGTATCGTTACAAATAAGGATGTCTCGCACGGCTCCACCCGCAATACGTAACTCATAGCCATATTTTTCAAACAGTTTAAACAGACACTCAAGTTCTGGTGTGAAAATAGGGAGAGACTCAAGCGATTCCAATTTCATAGTTTTCAGCTGACGCTTTGCAAAAACAACTGTTGGTGTGTTGAAAGCTGCATCAAATGAAAATTTTATTTTACTTAACGCTATACACTGGGAGCTGCACTGTACTGCGCCCTTAGCGTCTACAAGTCTGGGCAAGTATTTTCCATCTGTGTTGAGACTTGTATAGAAACATCTTTTGAGATGTAATTTTAAACGCCTTATCCCACTTAAATGTAATACCTTGGTGTTCATGAAGAAGATTTTATGCTTTCATATAATTCAACTTATGATGACTAGTTTATACTTAAAGTCCACAAGTTGGCTCTTTAGATATATTTTGTAGTTAGTATATTTTGTTTCACCTGTGATTGACTTGAAATTTGTTTTAATGTAATCAAAATTAAATAAAAATACTATTGATGAAATATTTGAAAAAGTTGGTAGATGAAATGGCACCACAAAACCTAACAAAGCAAACCATTACAAAAGTGAGGGAGTGGGAGGAGGGGGTGGATTAGACAGACATGTGACAACATATGGAAGATGATATTGAAAGTGTCAAACCAAATCTTAAAATTTCTAATAGACACTACTGTGACATACATCTTTGACTGTCACAGTGGCCAGTGTTTGTGACGGGAACAGGGCATTTCCCCCCCTGTCAATTACCCCCCCGCCCAGTATGACATTACCCCCCCCCCCCAACAGGGTTAGGTTTAGTGTTAGGGCTAGGGTAAGGTTTAGGGCTAGGGTAAGGATTAGGGTTAGGTTTTAGGGCTAGGGTTAAGATTAGGGTTAGAGCGAGTTTTAGGGTTAGGGTTGTGTCTAGCGTTGGTTTTGGTTTTGTGTGAAGTTTTAGGCTAAGGTGGATGCTTAGGTTTTGGTCTTTTTCTTAAGGTTTGGATTAAAGTAGTATATAGGTATAGAATTCTAGTTAGAGTTAGGATTCTAGCTTGAGAGGGGGGGTGTAATTGACAGGGGGGTAATTGCTCCGGGGGGGGGGGGGGGGGGGTTAACCAACATTACTTGCTAATATTAACCTTACCCTCCCCCCACCCACACACTTAACCTTTATTATATTTTAAAATTAAAATGATATTAAAGAACATTTTGTATTTATTAAGAATTTATGTTGGCTGATAAATACGGGGTTCATGTAACTAAATTCAAAACACATTTTCCAGTTTTAAGGATAAAAAAGACAGATTTACATTTTCAGGAGGATTTATTAAGATTTTGGTAACAATTCAAAATGCTGTGATAACTACAGAAAATTGAGAAAATTAATAAGGTTTAATTATAAATGGGGGCAACTCTGCGGGTTGTTGGTAAAATGCGAGTCGTGGAGTATCTGGGCAGTCAAAATGTAGGAAGAAAATGTGAGACATATTGATGAATAAAGGGTAAATGGCGAGACACAATTTAGGTTTCATGGTTTTCATTGCTTTTGGTGTTGTTTTTTTAGATTTGCAAGAAGAAAAGAGAAAAGTTTTCAATTAAAAAGAGTTATAATATTATTTTAAAAATATGCAATTTCTGAATAATTTCATTAGAGTGATCGACTGTTAATGTTTTTCTAAAATAAAATTATGTTCAAATATGCATTGTAAGAAAAAATACAGTACTAAGTTGTTCTATCATCAGCAAAACAAGCGACAGACAAAACAAGGGACTGTATTTCAGGTAGTTTCAAACAAGTATTAAAATTTCAGGTGGTTTCAAACAAGATATTAAAATTTCAGGAGGTTTCAAACAAGATATTAAAATTTCAGGAGGTTTCAAACAAGGTATTAAAATTTCGACACAATAAGAAGAAGTTGTTCAATCATTTTTACATTTCTAGTGGAAATGCATATTGTGGTGATGCTACTATTGAGTTGATAACAATACAAACTTAGCAATATCAGAAAATGGAACGGTCCAGAAACCTGCTCCCATGGCCTAAAATATGTATGTTTCACTGCACAATATCTGATCTAGCCGGAGTCTTGTATGACACATTAAAAAGAAACCCACACTTAAATTTTGTGGTTATTTAAGTCTTCAACAAAGTTCATTTTAAATCATCAGCACATGGGAAATCAAGAGCAGTAACATTTTTGCAGACTTCTTTACATTTATCCCTACCAATTGGGAGTGGATAAAATAATAGACCGGTGGTTTTTGCAGCATTCTCACATAAGCCACCCCATATGGCATCTCACCCATACCCATAAATATTTTGTACTTGAACTTATAGACTAGAATTCTTTACTAGATATACTATAACTATACTATGAACCCTCAAACCCTGATGATCAGCCCAAAGCACAACAGCTCGACCACAAAGTACAGATAGCACTACGGCTAAAACTAAAAGGATAATTTGATCCCATTGCGATACTATAATAGGCTAATTTGAGACCATTCCGCAGCTATTAATAGTATTTCATTTGAGCAAATTGTGCAGCTATTGAGGTCAATGTATTTTCTGCCTGCAGACTGGCGCTGGGGAGAAGAAGCTTCTTCCGGCTAGTCACTCCTATTAATATTTAATATATTTGGCCTAATATATTTAAAGAAAGTAATTTATTTTCTCCTTTTTAAGTGCATTATTACATAAAAGCTTGTTATTAATATTAAAATGGTTTTTATGCAATTTTTTTTTGGTGCTTAATACAATGGAGTTGCAGGGATACAAAGGGTTAACTCAAATTATAACAACCAGGGTCCTAGTCCTAGAAAAAAAATCAAATTTAGTTTAGAATAGGTGCCCTGTTTTTAATTTTTATTTAGTACAGTGACTCAGTGCAGTGCATAGTGATAGAGGCCATAATGAATGTCAATGATATTTGATAATCAATATATGGCAGCCTCAATAAAAAAATAGGTAGGGTAATCAATCGTTTTAGGATGTTTTTTAGGTACATAGAATCAAGATCTAGAGATCTAAAATCAAAATCTAGATCTAATAAAAAAATCAGTAAAAATCAATTAAATTGAAATCGGCCGCAGCTAGACTCGAAGTCTTAAGTCTTAAGTAATTAAGTAGTCTAAGTAATGTCACAATGTGAAAGAAAGGTAACTCAATTTTTTAATTTTAATGTATCGATCTATATTCACTATAGGTAACCTATCGTTTTGGGTACGTAAAATCGCCCGCGTCTGTTAATGTACAAAAACGTTACCTCATTGTCAAGGCTGTAATAGAAGTATATTGTGATATAATTGTGTCAAATATTATAGATAAATGAATAATATACCTAAATCAATAGAAAAATATATCAATATAGGCCAGAAATCAACTTTAAACAGCAGTGTCTGCAAGCAAGATTTGCTATATAAACAGCAGCCATTTGTAAAATAGAGTGACTTCCGCCTGAATCTCGCGCTATAAGTCTATAAAAATAAAACTTTAACAAGATGGCTGCTATAGTAAATGAGCATGGTTGCATCTGTTGGAAACATCGCTGGTGTTCATTTATTACTGAAAAGTTTTAATTCAATTGTTTAAAAACAGGTACATAAATGAAACAGGGAAACGTTTTTGTATTTTTCAAAACATAAATCCTCCTCAAAATGTGAAATAATTATTAAAATGTAAGGAGTCACCTGTTTTTCACATTACTAGTCGCGGGCGATTTTACGTACCTAAAACGATAGATTACCTCACTATAAAATAATCTATATATGTTATTTAATTAATAGTACACTTGTATCAAATATAATATTATAATAGATACCTAATTGAATAATAAACCAAATACAATGTTTAAATATAATTATATCAATATAAGCCAGAAATTAACTTTAAACAGCAGTGTTACGGACTGTTGCGTGTTTGAGAGCAAGACTTGCTATGTTAACACTTAGAGTAACTTAGAGTGGTTTCCCCTGAAATTCTACTTAACCCTTCGACTAAAATATAAAAAAAAATAATAATAATAATTTAATATTTAAAAAAAAATTAAACGATGGCTTTTAAGTTAATATTAATAATAATAAGATTGGTTACATCTGATGAAAACATCGCTAATCTTTATTTAATAGATCTAGATCTAGATCTAGGCCTATATACTATACTTAAATATAAGTATTTTAGTATAGGCCTATGCCTATGTAATATTATGTATGAAGGCCTACTACTGACTACTGAAAAGTTTTAATTTTAATAAATATTAAATAATCAAAGATAGTTTTATAAGTTTAGCATAGGCACTAGAATTTAGATTTTAACTTTCAGCCTAGACTAACGTAAATCCCAAGAAATAACGCTGGTCATCTGTCAACTTCTTAATATTTGTAATCTAGGCCTAGATCTAGATATCTAGATGCAGTGGCGTAGCGAGGTCGGGTGTCACCCGGTGCGGCACTTAATGGTGTCACCCCCCAGAGGCGTTGCGACCCTTCCCGGGGACAAACTTTCAATTTTCGATTTGCACCCCCCCCCCCCCTCCAGTTTTCGATTTGCACCCCCCCCCTCCAGTTTTCGATTTGCACCCCCCCCTCAAACTTTCGATTTGCACCCCCCCCCCCTCAAACTTTCGATTTGCACCCCCCTCAAGTTTTTCTCTATATATTTTGCTATTTTTTTGTCTTGGTGTCACCCCCCTAAATGGTGTCACCCGGTGCAGTCCGCACCCCCCTTCCCCCCCCTCGCTACGCCCCTGTCTAGATGCATATCTACAATATGATATTATAATAACTAAAATAAAATATGATAGGCCTATATAGATCTAGATCTATATTATTTTGAGTCTTGACTCCTGATTAATACCCTTAACATAAAAACAACACAGATTCATTGTCGTACAAAACAAAAGCGTTCACATGGTATCAGTTTGCTTTACCAGACCAGATTTTCTTTGAGACAAAATTGATAATTTTCTTTTGATTAGTTATAATAATTTTAAACTATACGTGTACAATGTAATGTCATAACAACTACACATTAATGGGAATAAATTTTGAAGATTTTATTATACGTCTTTTTAGTATTTGTGTTTGTCCATATATTACCACCCAGACACCCCAGTGTGTGCTGCATGAAAACCAAGTTCTCTTGTGATCTACCGGTTACCCTGAAATAGGAATGTCAATTGTCACCACAGGTTCAGTTTAATCATCAATTGTAGTCATCTTATTTTTATTTTTTGCTATAATTTTCTCGGTTCCAGATATCAGCAGAAGCATAATAAGGTGTGGGGTGACGCCAAATAGAAAAAAAAATAAAACCCTATTTAGAAAATAAATCTTTGAGCATTTAGATTATGGCTGTCTGTAAACCGAAAGACAATTAATTTAATTAACACAATTTTTTTCCAACCTAAATCGGGGGCTTTTTACCGGACTGTTGTGTAGAGTAATCCTTTAACTTATAGAAGATAAACCAATTGAACATTTATAAAATGTGTTAGCACATAACACAAGTTTGATCAACTTGCTGTCAATGTTTACAGTTCTTTAGTTAAGAAATTATGTTCATTTCAATGTTAGCGGAACAGGTTAAAGACTGTTAATTGAGGATGTTTCTTCCAATTGTTGCTTTGAAAGTTATTGACACAATTGACTTTGGCCATTTAGATTGTACCTAAGATAAAATATGAAAAAAAAATACCTAACTAGTTTCCCCCATCATTAACAACCCTCTTAACTCATATCACGCATTATATTTTCAAATATATATCTATAAATGTAAAATACGTATAAACAGTATATGTCTATAAATATAAACAAGGGTCGATCCTCAATTAAAAGTTTGCCCAGTGACAGAATAGGTTGCTATGACTGTAGTGATGATGGCCCATACCATAGCAAGAGCAACTGGTAATGATGATATTTACCGCATATCTTGTGGGTAATTATCTTACTCCTATCATATAATCAATCAATTACAATATTTGCATACCACTTTATTGATTTCATTAATTAAGGATAGCATGTCTGCCACAGGTGTACAACACGCATAACAATTCAATGACAACAACAAAATCTTCTGTCAAAAATTTAAAATAAACACATTTTAAAATAAATAGAAACCACTTTAATGATGTTTTTATAACATGCCTAATTAAAATTCATTCATGTACACATAGAAGACTGAAAGGCAGATATCTTTTAACTAAATAAAAGTAGGTAAAAAAAAAACAAGTTTTTTTATTTAAAAAAATAAATAATTTAATAATAACTCAAGCAAAATTAGTTCTAGAATGGTTTAGCAGTTTAAAATGTTCTTAATTAGGTATAAATAGTTTGTTTTTTTAATACTTTTTTGTTTTCAATTTTAACTGCCAATGTATTGGGGTAGTAAATACTTATAAGGTAGTTTTCATTAAAAAGAAATAATAATTATTTTGTGAATTCATTCTTAAAATAAATTATAAAATTAAGTTTAGGTATATCATCTTTTAAAAAATAAAATATTCTATAAAATACTATTCAACCAACCACTCAGTTTATCACAAAAATATCATGCCTAGAGAGTATATAAATTATAAAAGTTAAATGTATTGTCATAAAAACCATATAAAATATTTATTTGAATCAGCACAATAGTGTTTTTTCCACAACAGCAAATGTTTGACTGTTGTATGCATACTGCTGTGTAGTAGTAGCCTAAATATGATTTAAAGACACAAAACATGATGTATATATACATTTTTCAATGTTCGTTCCATGTATAGTTAACGGTAACTATAAAAATTTAGCTATACCACTTGGTGTAGATCTGTTTGCGGATTAGTTAATCAGAAACAATTGTAAAAGATATGAAGCTTTCAAAGCATAAATGGCAAATCCATATTCTTTTCGCCAGTCCCAAAGTAAATTGATCCGTACTTCTGTGTTGCAGGAACATGATAGAAAACATATCCTGGCCACTGTAAGCTTCTAAGTGCCAACAACCCACTTCCTCTTTCAAACTGTAGTGTCCAAGAACCTATTAAGAAAATAATTTATAAATTGTGTGATTGCAGTTTGAAATTTTACTTTTTCATTTTAACATTAAAAAACTTAAGAGTTTATGAGTATTATTGAGGTTTTTCTTCAGACAGTCAAAGATATTTTTATTACAGTGCAAGTTTAAATACATTAAAATGGATTATTAATTGTTTAGCAGTTCAATAACTTAAAGAAAAACAGGGCTGATAATAACTACTGTTTCATTAATTTCCAAATGAAGCTAATGATTAGTACCCCGGGGAACATCGTCCTCGATACTGTCCATAAAGTCAATGGCCTTATCCATGTTCGCACGCTGCAATAAAGTTTTTAAGTCTAATCTTTTTGCCTCCCTGAAGTGCATGTAGTTGCAAAGCTTAGCTGATTCTTGCACAGACAAACCTTTGGAAGAAAAATAAAACTGCATTTGCAAGGTCTACATAAAACAAAACTTTAAGAACTTCTACCTATATAAAAATATTTTAAAATGTCATACTGAAATAAAGATATTAATGTTGAACATGGATTCTTTTGTTTCACCTTTTAAAACACCAGTTTTAAAATGAAAACTTGAAATACAATATTTTCTTAAAAATCTGTTTCATTTACTTATGGTAATCTGTGAGTTTACCTTCAAAACTTCTGTTTTTTACAACTTCTGCTGTTGGAACCTGGACAAAAGCCCCTCGAGGTACAATCCTCACATCTTCGTCAATTTCAGCAACTACAGATGACAAGCGATCTTCTTCCTTGATAATAGTCTATAGAAATTTGCATAGCTTGATATTTTTGTTTAAACATGCTATTGCTCTAGTAAAAGAAATGTTGTGCACGTTATATTTTGATTCAATTTACTGTTTACCCTAATAGAAGGGGATAATAAAATTTCAATTAAATTTTAGCGTGCTACTAAAAGATTTGTAATTTTAATTTAAACCATAATTTAAGGATTTATAATGTACACCAAAATAAATCTATTGGTCTGACTAATTAATCATTTCCAAGTAATTATTTTTTTACCTGTTTGATTAGCCACATTGATTTCTATACTAAAGGGCAGAAAGTCTAAATATACTAAGAAGAAATATAATACGTTCATAACCCTTTAACTTTAACTATGAAAAGAATGGCATAGAAACAAAAATATTTTAAAGTAGGATATTAATAATTTTACTTTAAAACTATATTTTAAGGAGTTTTATTGAAGAAAAGGTACTTAAGTAAATGGGTGCAACTAATTAAGAATTATCTGAAGTGATTATTTTTAATAAAGCTTTCGCCCAAGGGGAGGGGGGGGTGGCGGGAATTTGAAAGTGTGTGACACCATATTGCATTTTAAAAAGTAATGTTGGAAACTACCTTTTTTGGTAAATAATGTTGTAGCAATTGATCAATATATTGACCAAGTACATATATTATTTTAGAGAGAAACTAATGTTTTTGTTTTTTTTTTAAAATGGAATTTCGAGAAGGTTGGTAGGATGAGGTGTGAAATCATTTTAGAAAAAGGGTCTGTGTTTTTGTGACAATGAGGGATTTGGGGGGTGGGGGGTGTAAATTAAAATCGGCAATAACAAAAAAATAGCATGACTTCAATTAGCTATGGTCTTGCCAACACTAAATTTCCTTCAAACTAAAGGGGGAAAACTCTTTATATACTAAAAAGAAAAAATAATTCAATGTTTATATCCCTTTGACCATAATCTGCATAAAAATAAAATAGCGAAACTATCGTGAATACATTAAATTTAGATTTATATAATTATTTTAGGATTTTTATAATTGTACGCAAGGTTCATAAATACATGTGTAAGACTAATTAATCATTCTCCCAAATAATATATTTATACTATTTAAGTATATTGCTTACATTTAATTTTCTTTAATTAAAATAAAGGGAAAAAACTCTAAACATACCAAGAAGAAAAGTAATATTATGTTTATTTCCCTTTGACCGTAAATCAATAGAAACAAAAAAAGGAAAATAAAAATATAGGTCTATAGAAATTAAAATTTAAGAGTTTATAATGTCGCAATTCTGACACGCCGAATTTAAAAAGAACAGACTGCTTACACTTGTAGATTGTGTTAGACAATTAGATCTATGATAAAATAATTCTACTGCTGAGTATTAAAAATATTTAACATACTGTTTCTTCCTCTTCTGTTGCCTCCTCTCCATCTCCAATTTTCTTTGTTTCCACATGTTCAAACTCATAGGATGGGTCTCCAGTGAAACGACCTTTAGCAAGTTTGGATTTTGCCTTCATTTCAGCTGTAGCATGTGGAAGCAGTCCCCAATGAATGCAGTCTTTACTTTAAAAAAAAACAACTCAGAAATGTTTTTTGTTTAATTTGTAAAATGGCAATATAAATAGCATGTTATTAACTTCATCTATAATTGTTATCAATCATTGATATTTTAAACAATTAGATTTGCTCAAATAGTTTTTTTAGATTAATTATAAGTAGCTTTTTATTTTGGAGCAGTTTGACTATTTTTTGAGAACGATGTCTAGACAGACAAGGAGAAAAGATGACACATTTACTTTTGCTCACTTGTGGCGGGGGGGGGGGGGTTTGTTTCAATATGGATATCCACATTTTAAAAATTTAACATCAATATGCCTATAGATAGAATCTACTTATGACTTAAAGAAACACAAAACTTTATTATATCATAAGCATTGTAATGTGTTTATAATAGGCCTTTTTGAGTCTGCATTAGAGTGATCAAATTAATTAATGATTAAAGTTAGAGTTATAATAATATCTTCAAAAAATTATTAATTATCAGGCCTAATAACTATTAATTAGGCTACTGAAATAGTTACATAGTAGCCTAACAGCAAATATAATTTAATAAATCCATACAGCTCACGTCTGTTTTAGTAGAATACTAACCTGTAGAATGTTTTTCTTCCTGCAAATTCATCTTTGTATACACCTTGAGCAATAAAATAATTATCCTTAACACCCAAAATCTTTCCCCAAAAATAAACTCTGTAAAACTTGTTTTCATTTTGTAAAATAACCAATGATGTTTGAAGCGCTGCTTTTTGTTCAGAACTACATATTATTCCACTACTCCCAACATAGTCGAGATTTACATGCAGGCCGTCTGACTCCATTGTGAAAATGAGTCTCAAAAACACAACAATAGTTGAATATCAAGATTATCACTTAAATCTTTTTAAAGTATATGTCTCACTTCGTGTTGCTATTTACTATCGCCATGGTTGCACGCATGCGCTCTAATGTAGATCCTATATAGTTTGCTTTTTTCTTACTTAAAGAGTTAATTTCAAGGGGGAAGACTGATCTATTTAAAAAGTTATCTTTTTTAATGAAGAACAAAGAATGGTTTACTGAAACTTTACTCTGTTCATTGTTTTGCCTTAACAAAAATTTACCAGTCAATAAAAAAAACAAGGATGGGATTGCCGACTTCAGTGACGATTTGAAATGAAGAGGAGCGGAGAGTAGATTTAGAAACCCGCGAAAAAATTTGTGGATTAATATCATGAATAATTATTTTATAGGCGATACAAAATTCAGATTTATCATTCAATGTTCGTTGAGAAACCCATTTCATACCAATTTAATATAATGTCTAAATTTTAATATTTAGACACAGAAACATTTACATTTTTAACACACATTCCTTCAGTTTTTACTACATTGCCAGAGAGCTAGGCATTTTTTATAATGGCTAAATAAATTAGTATATTGGGTAGTCCTAAAGTGAAGCATGCCTTGGCGATAGGATTGGGGGAGGGGGGGGGGATTTGCATTTTTGTGACGATATAAGGCAGAGTTTCTACCAGAAATCTCTTCGGGGGGGGGGGGGGGGGCGGTAGACTTTATTGGGAACTTCCCACCGGAACAAAATGAAATTTATATAGAAAACACTTTTACCAGTATCCGCTCCCCCCCCCCCTCGAAAATATCAAGTCCCCCCCTCCCCCCGGAGAAGGAAGTCTGGAAGAAACACGGAAGGCTGAAGACGATTGTCACACATAAATGCCGTCAAAACGTTTTTTGTCAATTTTTTATACCTCCTCCTCTCTCATAGTCACTTTCGCAAATGGGAGACTTTTCCCACTAAAAGTGACGTCACTCCTCAGTCTAACCACCAACACCCTTAAACTTGCAATTAAAAAAAAAAAAAACATTTCTTTCTAAAATGTTTTCTCACCTCGATCAATATTAAGTAGGCCTATCTCAATCAATTTCTGTTACAATCAGTGTTTCTTCCAGACTTTTTTCTCCCGGGGGGGCACTTGAAATTTTCGGGGGGGGGGGGGGGCGGTAAACTTTCTTCGGGGGGCGGACACTGTTAAAAGTATATATTTTCTACATAAATTATATAAATTTTATTTCGTTCGGGGGGGGGGGGGGGCGGTAAAAAAAATTTCGGGGGGGGGGGGGGGGCTTTGCCCCCCCCCCCCCCCCCGAAGAGATGCCTGGAAGAAACTCTGGTTACAGTTTACAAAAACAGCCTTTATATAACCCGAAATAAAGGCCAAAATTCACTATGTAACATTTTTACTTTCTCGTATATACAAGGGATAGAGAAAGTATTGTAATCGTGCAAAAAAAAACGAGATTTTTACAAATCTCGACTTTTTACGGCTCACTGATACGGAAAAACATAATTTTGCAATCTTGTCCGTATGTCTGTGTGATTGTGTGTATGTCTGTGTGTAAACACGATTACTTGAGTACGGTTACAGCTAGGTGATGAAATTTCATATATAAGTATTTTATCAAAATCGTAGATCCGTATCAACTTTTGAGCGATTTCTGATAACCGGAAGTGGTACTTTTTCTACTTTGAATTTTTCAAAAGCCTATAACTTGAGTACTATTTCAGATAGATAAATTAAATTTCACATGTAAGTAAAAGATCTAATTCTCTACCTTCTATCAAATTTTGAGTAATTTCCGTTGACCGGAAGTACTAATTTACGCTATTTCCGATTTCTCAAAAAACGCACGTAAATTTATAAAGTACTAATAATATCCCGCACTATTATGCACATTTTATTAGGCGCTCACTTAGTGTGCAATTCTTTTTTTTTACGAGATTCCATTCTATTATAAAAAGTTTAAGTAATTAAAAATGGATTACAAATATTGTCTATGTCCTGAGTTGCCATCCCTCGTAGTTTTATATTAGAATATCCGAGAAAGTTTAGGGGAGATCACTCCCGGTTTATTTTAAATGCTAAATTGTGTCGCCACATTTCTGAAAGTCTTAGCTACATCGCAAATTTTCAGGGAAAAAAATTAATATTTGAGATAAAATTTTATATTTCGAATTTTTAAAAGGCCTTTTGTAACTTTTAATAAAAATTTATCAGTGGTCCCTACGGAATCCAGCTAATTCAATATTTTAGAAAGAAATTGCTGTCTCAAAAAAAAAAAAAAAAAAAAAAAAAAAAAAACCCGGTATTTTTTAAAATATATATATTTTGTGTTATGGTATAAATAATATCTCAAATGGACAGTGTGTAGGATGTCTCTGATGGGCGCTGAATCCACTGCAGTTGTGTGGATCGGGAGAGGGATAGTTTCTTTATTGTCAGATCCTGTTCAAGGTCGGAAGTACGTTAAAGATGAGAAGGGGACAACATTTTTAAACGCCCGAAAATTCAGACTGATTATCGATTGAATATGTGCTTTACATATAGCATTGTGTAGGCAGTGAGAGTTATTTTACTTTTCGTCGAGGGAAGCAGTTGTTTTATTCGTTCAAGTTTACGCTACCTAGTCTCTCTCTCTCTCTGTATATATATATATATATATATATATATATATATATATATATATATATATATATATATATATGTATATATATATATATATATATATATATATATATATATATATATATATATATACATATATATATATATACATATATATATATATATATATATATATATATATATATATATATATATATATATATATATATATATATATATATATTTATATATATACATATATATATATATATATACATATATATATACATATGTATATATATACATACATATATATATATATATACATATATATATATATATACATATATATATATATATATATACATATATATATATATATACATATATATATATATATATATATATATATATATATATATATATATATATATATATATATATATATATATATTTTAATATATATAAATATATTTAATATATATAAATATATTATATATATATATATATATATATATATATATATATATATATATATATATATATATATATAAGCGAGTCGCGATAGTCAGCATAAAAACGCATGTACGTTTGAATCAGTTTGATTATATCGTGCACATAAAGCCTAAATTTGGCACGATGTGTTCAGTTTTTATCTGGTAGGTCCAGATCTCGATTAGTTGCAGTGAAAACGGAAAACGACAGGCTACCAAAAACTTCATTTTATATTTGAATTACAGGCTTCAATAAATTAATTATTATTTTTAATATTTCGCTTTTTTTTAAAAGTATGGACTTCGAAATAATGCACATTGTTGAAAAAAGAAAATTAAAAACTGCGAATAAAATTTTGGTATTTCTATCAAACGAGTTCAACAGAAAAAAAAGTGCACAAACTAGATCTACTTGTGACACCAATCCTAATACAAATCTAAATCTTTTGAATGATGTTCACGCTTCGGATTTTGAATGCGAAATAGATAAAATATGGGCTGATAGAATATCAAAAAATGCACACTTATTTAATGCAACAAAATTTAGAGTTCACAGCATCAGCAGTTCAGAAAATGAAATGGTTTCATTATTTCTGGGCATCACAGATTACAAAGAATTTATTGGAACCAATTGGTCTCCAAATGCAAAGGACTTGCAACAAAGAGGAATTGAGGCTTTTAGTAATTCCCAAGCCTTCTTATCTGATGCTCTAGGTGTAGGTGCCAGTGTTTTGACAGAGGACAACAAACTTATTTTACTGAAAAGGAGTGAATTTTGTGCTGAAGCCCCATCTTTATGGGATGTACCAGGGGGTCATGCAGAGCCTATGGTTGGTCATATCATAGTCTTATGAATAATTTTTTTTTAAATTATATATATATATATATATATATATATATATATATATATATATATATATATATATATAAAACTTTATATAGATCTGTATATTATTATATATGCTTAATTATATATATAGCCTAAAAATATTATATATGCCTATATATATATATATATATATATATATATATATATATATATATATATATATATATATATATATATATATATATAATATACAATATATATACATATACGATATATATACATAGGCCTATATATATTATAAATATATAGATAAGTATGTAGGCCTATAGTATATACATATATATATAATGTAAAGGCTATATAATTATACATTTACCATCACTATGTATATTAAACAAGTGTGTATGTATTAATTTAAACACCTGTTTTTTGTCTTTTAAAGTATGCTAGCATGTTTATCATAAGTTAATGTATGTATGTTTTACTAACTTTTTTATATTTCTGATTTTTCTTTTTTTATTACAACAGAATATTGTTGGAAGTAAGCCACTGCAAGATATTGATGTTACTACAATGAGCAGTGCTGAAGTGCTACATGAAATCTTTGATTCCATTCAGCGAGAAGTGGTAGATGAGGTTAATATACCACTAGAAAAATTAGGAGAGCCTTTTTATATGGGAACACATCGTAATAAACTAAGTGCTGGTAGGCCAAGTTTGGCGTTTGCAATTAGGTAGGCACTAATAAAAAGCTGATATTTAGTCTCAAATATAATTTTTAATTTTAATCTGAAGCACATATCCATGAGTATAATGTATGCAATATTTTCTTCAGATTTTATTAATGATTACCTGTGAAATTTCTTTAACTATTTGGCAATATAATAGGCTATGAAAACTGTGGATGCAGAACTTATAATAGCATCCTTCCATCATTGTTATGCTGTTTTATTGTTTATCCATGAAGCATTTTTTTCCTGTCAGATGTTTCCTCACAAGTGAAGAAGTGCAGCAAAAATATACTGAAGGGAACCAATCAGAGGCAGATGAGACCACAAGTATCATGTTCATCTCACTTGATGATATTAGTCGATTGGTTATTGAAAAAAATGATCTGTGGAATATGCTTGCCCCTTCTGCTAAAGGCAATTTGTCTATATTCTGTTTATCTAATGCAAGTAAATTTATTCATGGATACTACTGATATTTTTTTAGCCTATGATTACTATGAAAGTCAGTACCATTTGGGTTTTATAAAATAAGGTTTAAATAAGGTTTTATGCAACTAGTTGAAGAAGTTATGTATAAATACATTTATAACTATAATTTTAAAACTTTTAAACTAGTCAATGTGGGAAAAACAAACTTATTTTAAAACATGCAGTGATTTAATCTGACTGAATTCATCAGTATTGCGATCATCTCATACCACTCCTATGGTATATGGGTGGACAACTACATCTCTTCAGAGAAGTTCTTGTCATAAGATAATGTGAGGACAGCCTCTTCTACTTGTTTCCAGGTTCCATGTTGCAGCCTGCATGAATGTGACCTCTCCTTCTACTCCAGATTTCATCTTAAGCTAGGAGTTGGCAGGTCTATTACCAAAGAATGGTCCAACAAATGTTAGATTCTTTTCAATATGAATATCTGCACTATCTGTGGCTGTCCTGGTCATTCTCCAAATCTCAGGTCCATACTCCAGCACTGACTTTACATGGGCATTAAAGTTGACTATTTCTTTAAACTGTATAAAGAGGGCTCTTGTTTTTCCAATTCTTGCAGTTGTTCATTCTTGTTGGTCAAGGTTGCTTCTCAGATGTGTGAAGCACTGCACTTCATGTTGATGCTCTTGATTTAACTGGTCCAGTTAATTTCAATATCCTTGTCTTTTTCCTATTGAAGATGTGTCAGCTACCACTTTCCTGCTGAAGTTGATGAGAGAGAAATACAAATAATAGGTCATCAAGCTTACTCCATTGGGTCCACGATTAGCACTACTAGACAAAAATGTGACAGCTATCATACCCCAGTTCACATAGTATACTGTTTTAATGTTCACCAAGATGCCAGATTGTTGGAAGAGTTCATCTTTGGAAAATACAAAACTACTTTCACTTCATAGATAAGAATGTGATTGTACACCATGTCAGTGCATCTTGAATCAATGTACTTTGGGATATATTATTATAATTAATATAAGTATACATATTATATAGGATAATTAAATATAAGTTGGTGCTTTATTGTTGTTATAAATATTAAAATATTTGTAACTGATGGAATTTTTAATGTTTGAAAATAAACATGTGATATTTATATAATATGTCTTTTAATTGTGTCCCCTGGAAATTACATTATTTACATTGTATGACAATAATTTGTGTTCACTGCCATGAAAATAGAGACGGATTTTAAAAAATTGCAAGTCTTATAAAAAGTAATACCTATAGTAATATAATCACAAGCTTTCCTTCTTGTTCACCATACAACTCATCTTGATGGTATCGGCCTAAAGCCTGATTCCTATGTTCAGTGGTGTATCCAGCCAGGCACACGCAGCCCCCCTCCCTGGGGGGGGGGGGTCTTGCATAAATGACGTCACACTCGTAGGGGGGTGTCAGATGGTGTGACGTCACTTTTTTATTATAAAAAAGCAATGTTAGAAAACGAGTTTTAGCCGTTATTTCGCGTTTTAGAAAACGGTTTTAATAAATTGTAATAGGAATTGATCAAAATACTCTATGTTGTCAGTTGTAGGCTGAGGTGCGACGTCATTTTAGGGGGGGGGGGGGGGTCTGGCTTTTTGTGACTTGGCGGGGGAGGGAGGTAAAAATCGTCCAAAAAAGCGTGACGTCATTTATGGATGACCCCCTGAGAGCATTTTTAGAACACAGCGCTTTAAAAATATTAAAACAAGAGTCATGATGAACAACTAAATTAATGAAAGGGGATAAAATCTAGAGCTTATCTTTTGGTAGACGTGTAAAGGCGCCTATCTTGTCGGTGTTTGTACCTCACCCTTGGCTAATGAAGGCGCCAGTCATGAGATGAGGGTCTGTACTGAGGTAAATAGTTAACTTCTTTCTTCTTCGATCTTAATTTTTAGTGTTGGAAGGGATCGAGCCTTATCTGCCAGAGGGTTTGAACTCGAGACATTTTCGAATTTAACAACCATGAGCTTTTGCCGACTCAACCACGCCTCCATCACAATTAAGTATACGTGTCAACCGGTTATGCGCCATTGACTCCTGCTTTTCTTTTTGAATTTGCTTCCATAGCCTTTGTCCAACCAAGAACAAACTACAAGGCAGCAGTTGTTTGATTTCGGAGTTGCCTCTCATAAAAGAGTTGCTGTCCCCAGCTGACGAGCCTAATCTGCCCGAACTCGAGACTTTTCGGTTTAGCAACCATGAGCTTTACCGACTCGACCACACCGACCCCAAAATGGTTAACGAAAGCTCCTTTTTTTTTATCGACGGGGTAGAATTTATTTTTTCGGGTTGGGTGGGGGGGGGGGGGGCTTTGTCCCCCCCCCCCTCCCCCCGAAGAGATGCCTGGAAGAAACTCTGCTCCTTCTAATTCTATGAACGAAGTCAAAAGCCTAGATGCTATGTACTATAGTATAAGGCGGAACGCCAAGAGACTGCTATTTGCTATCCTTATAAGGAGAACGATCGGAGATGATGGGAGTGTACAAAGAATAAGCAGGTAGGCCTAAGATTTTTTAAGTAAATTTGAGTATGTCCGGCCTAAATAGGCCTACTTATACTTGTTTATATTATAGATCTATATATTTTTTTACAATCGGAAATTAACATTCACAACGTGAAAAATATTTAATTAAAAGTGACATCATTTAGATCTATATTTTATGGACGACTCTGTAACTAAATATAACATCTAACATTAGTCACAATATGCAATAGCTTTTTACTGACTAATAAAATATTTAAAATAACGACAGCGACTAGATCTATGTATAGAAAATGATTAAGGTCCCGGAAATGTGTAGTCATGACAACCAAGACCAAAGATGAAAAAAAAAACAACTAATCCTTGAAAAAATAGTACTTAGATCTAAGTGCTTAAGTCTATTTTATATACAAATTATTTGTGCCCACGATGACTTTTATCTTTACATTACAGTAGTATATAAATTAAGGATGAATAGTCTACTATAGTTGGTGTGAAAAAATATATTTCATAATAAATAATAAAGATCCGAAAACTATTACCGGAAGCCGATTTGCAATATTCTAAGCAACCGAGTGAGTAATCAACATTAAAAATGGCTGACTGGCAAGGAACTGTTGCTGTTAACACGGCAGGCGCAGAAGATCACATTTCATCTTTTACAGAAAAACTTTTTAAACGGGAAGAAGAAAGGCAAGCACAACTGCAAAAACGAAAACAAGAAGAAAGTGAACAGTCATTTAGAATTCAAGAAAGTGTTCAACTATTTTTAGATTCATTTAAATCAGAGCTTCAAATACTGAAATCACTGCTCGTTGAATCCAGTAAAATAGAGTCTACCAGGTTAATAGAACATTTTGATAATTTATCATTACGTGTTTCAAAGCTACAGCGGTATGTTTCTGAGTCAGCAATGTTTCTTCCTCCATATGAGTTAAAAACAGCTCAAAATTTGATAACATCTCTTCAAAGTGGTATTCAAGAAAAGAGGGATGAACTTTTGCCAAAAAAGAAGTTTGCCTTTAAAACATCTAACAGAAAAGCTGACAGAAGAACTGCTATGCCTGAGAACACAAAAAGTGAAGAGACAGCAAAGGATTCAAAATCAGAAGATGATTTAGTAATTGAATTAGCGGCGTGTAAATTTGTAGGGGTTTCCAACAAGACTCTTCAAAAAAATGGAAATGAAATAAATAAAAAGGACATTGCTTTGGCAAGCTTAACCGATTGTACAGTTCTTCTCTATGGTGCCCCTTCTGCTATTCACATGAATAAACTAAAGAATTGTAAAGTGTTTTGTGGCCCAGTGCCAGGTTCTATATTTATCAGAGAGTGCATCAATTGTACATTTGTGCTGTCCTGTCAACAACTAAGGATTCACTCAACAACAAACTCACATTTTTACATTCATGTAACTAGCAAAGCCATAATAGAAGATTGTAATGGCATTAAATTTGCACCTTGCAATTGGACATATGATGGTCAAGAAGAGGATTATGCCACCACAGGTCTGACTAAAGACAGAAACAATTGGGATAAAGTTGATGATTTTAATTGGTTAGCTGCTGATGCTCATTCTCCAAACTGGTCAATTCTTGATGAGTCAGAACGTATAACTTCTTGGAGCTTTTAAGTTATTTAGTTTTTATAATGTTACATCCATTAAAGTGTTACTATCATTGCAGACTTATCTAAATAATTAGCTTTATTTATTATAGGCCTGTTTATACAAATTTAAAAGAAATGCATATATTGTTAATTTTGTTTCCTTAGAAGAAGCACAAAAATAGAAAATATAACAGCTTTTATATAAATTGCTCTATTAATAATATTATTATAGATAGTACTTACATTATTCACCATCCACATTAATTTAAATGAAATTCTTCTTCCTATCAGGGCCTCTAGAATTTCTGTCCTAATATTCTACTACTTTAACCTTTGTTAACTTTGTTTAAGCATCTTTAGCATCTAAAGTTGGGCTTGTGTATTGAAATTAAACCTTTATCAAATCAATATTTTTTTTAAACTGGATTTTTCGTAAAATTGCTTTGACTATTCTTTAGGCGAATTTCATTTTTTAAAATTTGAATAAAAAAACTGAAGCTACCTTAGTCAGATTGTAGTTGGTATTATTATTATATAATTACTATAAATGATGTTTTAATTAACTTTTGCAAATACTATTTAAAAAAACATTTTATTCAACCAAGCCTCCTTTCTTATTCTACTTAACTAGTTAACAGTGCAAGGAGTAAGAACATGAGGTAGAGGGCAACGTTTTGTTTTGATGGTGCCTTTTTTGAATCATGGCCAAAAGCCAAGATGTAATTATAGCTTGAGTCTAGGTAAAGTTAGTTATTACTGTAGGTATGTTTTCAACTTAAGTCATTATATGCTATGAAAATAGCTAAATTCCTTGTCATAGGGTAGTGTTTGTAGAAGAAAATGTTATTTTTACCACGTTGTCACTTGTTATCTCATGTAATAGAATGAAATATTCTGTGATCTTTGTGTGTGTACAGTTGTTTGGCTGAGTCCAGTTATGGACAATTTTTTTAGCTTACACATTGGTGGGGGTAAACAACTTTTATTTTTATAGACAGAACACTTAAAATCTTTGCTGTAAGCAACAACAGACATGGTATGAACTGATTGCTAGATTTAGAAGTGAATTATTTTTTAAATTTTACATGAATCAGTTATGCCTTTGTCCTCACTTATTTATAAAAGTTAAAATGGTTACAATATCTTCTAATTGATTAATTAGCACTAGTAATCTCTAATGATTCACAAGGATCTTTAACTTGCCATGTTAAAAAAACAAAAAACATTTTATACTGGTATAATAAAATTATTTCATACTCTTTTTGTAAACTTGTGTTGACTTACTTTTTAGTTTAATAGAAGTAGTAATTTTTTTGTTTTGTTTTGCACATTATACAGGAGATATCTTTGCTTTCTAAGAATAATTTGCCATTAATATTAAAATAAACAAGCCAACCCGCTATGTAGCATAGGCCACTATTTAGTTGTTTTATTTTCCACATTCACATTTCAGTAACTCATAATTTGTGAATTTGACACTACCCCCCCCCCTTTGAAAGCAGCCGTCCTTGATCACAGATTATAGACGAACAATGAAAATATCAAGCAGAAATTGTTACCTCCTCTTAGTTTCAAATTATCTGCCCCTAATAGCCTTACATATTTCAACTTGGCTCTACGATTGTAAACATTTGGAGTGAACCACAGCTCACCAGACTGGTGGGGTGTTTGCTATATGCTTAGAGAGCGGGGGAGTAACGGCGTGCGTCTACGAGGTGTCTCGCATGGTCCAGATGAAGCGAATTATATATATAGATAGATCTATATCACAACCAAATCTTGAGAGCAGCTGTAGCATGTTTGCAGCTACTACTACTAGTACAGTAGCTAGTAGCATTACAAGTGAATGAGTTTACAGTTTTAAAAAACTAATAATAAATATATTTTATTTCAAAAACCAAGTTATATATAAGAAATGAAATATCTAAATCAATTATTTAATTTACAAGAATGGCAGGTCATTTTATAAATACAAAAGAAGAAAACTAAATTGAATGTATGTAAAATGATTTAATTTTAATGAGTATCAAAATCTATTGTACAAGCAGTAAATATAATTTGATATACACTTCAATAATATTGCAGTATACAAGTTGTTACCTACAGAAGCCACATATAAATATAGCACTAATACTCAGAATACCTATATATTACTGGCACACTGTAAAGATGAAATCTAATTCTCTTGAAGAATTAGGCAAATCTGAAACTAGCAGGAGCTATCATTTAATAATTTGATAAAAGCATTCTCTATGGGTACAACAGAAAAACATACAGTAAAAATCTTGACTGAAATAATGTATGACAACTATTAATAAAATGATGTATAATTAGTTACTCTTCACACACAGGCCCTTTGCTGCCTTCTCTATCACAGTTTGTTTTAAAGACAATTATGTCAATTCTAGTAAATATACAAATAATGAGTTTATAAAATGACACCAAGAATAAGCTATATAACAAATAATAGTATCATAGTACACCACACAAAAGAGTAAATCAACACATAGCAAATAGTTGACTGTACATAAAGTTTTCTCATCATTGCTTTTCTTCAAGTTGTCTCAAAACAAAAATTTAGCTGATTGTTTGCATAGTTCACCCTGTGAAATTGAGTAAATTAATTTAACATAAACACATGAAAGTGCCTAAACTGTACATCATTATTACAATAAATACTGTAATCATATTACATTTTGGAAGGTAACTTAACAGATATAATTTAACATTTAAAAAAAATCTTTTAAAAATATTTTGTAGATTCTGTCGAGTTAATAGATTAGAAACAAAGTTTTCTCTTTTTCTACAACAAACAATAATTGTTATTGAAAAACTTATAAAAATGTTATCATTTGTAAAAAATAAAACAACATGGCTAATAGAATGTTATCCTATAATATTATCCACATGATAGTTTAGATAGACTTTAGGCTTAATAAATGTTGCAAAGAGCATAAAAAAACCTAATCAAATCATAACACATGCAGTACATTATCAATAAACACACATTCATATTCAGTGTAATATTGTACATAGCAAAGTAATACTATCAGATTTACATTTTTTAAATTTACAAGCAATGCAAATAATATTGAGTCTATGTTGGTGGAGCTCCATCTGTGTAATGTAACATGAGGGAAAAAGAATTTCGCAAATTGTTTTTTAGCAAACAGTTGTTTTCATCATCACAAACTGGGAAAAGGCAGGCCAGGAGTAAAAAACAAAGCAACAACAAATAAAATGGAATGGCTGCACAAATGACTCGCATCAGCAAAGATGGACGGACTTGGTGTTGACCAGTGGCCTCAAGCAAGCTTCTGGTGTTAGAATTTAAACTGAAAAAAAAAATCATATTTAGTTTTTTAAAACATAAAAAGATTCGAACAAATATTTATAGGAGTATAGTATAATGTTTTAGAAGTATCACAAATTGTAAATCAGGTTCTATAAAAATTCTTGTGGAAATGTGGAAAGAACATTGTACATTGTAGAGAAGAAAGAGTACTTTAATTTTATTGGGGCAAATGCTGAGTCTCCTTAAGCACAATTCGAATTCTAATAGAAATTTGCATTAAAAAATAAATTAAAAGACTGACGAGCATGTGTTTTTATTAGTTACATTGTGCAGCTTTCAATTTCTGTAAAGCTACAAGACCATATGAGGCTAGAAATTAAACTATCTGTAGGGGTAGCCTTTATTTTAACAACTATAACATGTAAGATATAAACACAATTTCAGGTTAGCAAAGTTCATAAAATGCAGGTGCTATGTATAATTGATGTTTCCTTGTGTTAGAACAGCAAGCTAAAACATCTAGGCAATACCAGTCTATTTTATCAGGCTTATTCCTGGTGATTATTTCATTTAATTCTAAATCATTGAAGCATGCAAAGATAATTTAATAGCAAGATCTCTCTTATCAATAAAACTTTCTAATAATGATAATATATATTTTAGATATGGTTATTTTGAAATTTCGACTTTAAAATTTAATGTAACATTTATGTTCCATAATAATGAAACTTATTATAAAAATAAAAATTGCATGAGAATTTCTACACCGAAAACAAGAATATTTATATTATAAACCAATGCCCATAATTATAATAGCCTTAATACCAGACAGTTAAAATACAAACTATGCAAGCAGAATGCATAAGCACACAAATGAAAAAACAAATTCAATTTTTGACCCCTCTATTGTTAAGCTAACTAAACACTAAAAGCTGCAAGTTGCAAATAAAAACAAAAAAGATTAGTTCATTAAAATTTAAAAAAAAAAAAGATGGTGATTTTTATAGGTGGTGCAATAGTGCAATACTTATGAAATTAAAATAAAAGCAGTGTTTAAAAAGTATAAAGAATACTAGCCATAACCAGTCTGCTAAAAACAAATGAAAAATGTTAACTGACTTGATCAAGTAAGAAAAAGCACACTGCCATGATAACAAAACACAATTTCCAAAGACCTTCTAGATTATTGACAGAAGCTACTTTGTATATTTAACAGAAAATATCTTTTAAGCAAAGGAAATGAAGGATGCTATAAATATTTTAGGCCTGTTCCTTTTTCATTGTTGCTATTAAATCTCTAAGAATTATTTTCCATAGCAATGTTTGTCAATCATTTACAATGCTATCATTAGGTTTTCTTCCCAGAATCCAAAGTTGCTAGGGTACTGGTGAGCCAGTGTTGGTGTGTAGCCACAAAATCTGATGCTTTTGAAAACTTGTGACTTTTAAGTAGCCTACTTCAAGCAGGGCATAATAAACCCTCAAACTAATACTGTTTTAAGAAATCTTTTCAAGATATGGTAGTTGAAAATAGAAAAGTGTTGCCAATGAATAATCTGTTAATATGTTATCTTCATATTATATTAGCCTAGAAGGAAATAGAAAACACAATTTTCACTGGACAATGACATGCATACAAGAAGCCCTGACAGGCTGAGGCAAGCAATTTGATGCACAGTGGCAAGATGCAATGTTGCTTGGCTCAACAGAGGATAAGCACAAATATCCCGTAACCCAAAATAGGGCTTATCTGCTCTCTAAGACAGTGTGAGAAGACAATATGCAGAAAAAGTGAGATGTAAAAAATTGATCGTTCGCCTATCAGGGAACAGGATTCAAATTTACTTGTCTCTATCCTTTGAGCTGGAATGAAGCAAAGGGCCAGTACTCTCAGTAAATAGCTGTGGACCAAAAAGCAAGTTAGATGGAATAAATAAACAAAAACTCTTTTACAACATGACTTTCTTGGAAAGTAAGATTTTACCCTGCTGGAGTTAAATTTTTTTACAATGTTTGTTAAAGCAAAATAATTGCTTTTTACTTGGCTGCAAAACCTTTGAATTATTCAGTTAAAGTTCATTGTTTCAAAACCTATTTGTGGTTTTCAATAAGTTAAGATACATTATTAGTCTTAGTTTATCTACTTCAGTAAAAATAAAAACAAATGAAAAAAAACTAATTTATTTAGCTAGAAGAAACTTGCTAATTAATAAAAATAACGAGTCTAGCTATTTTGATTTAAAATTTAATAAAATGAAATATTAAAGTGCTTGGAAAGAAACTAATATATAGGTAAGTAAGGTTTGAGATGTATTAAAAAATACATTTATTTTTTAAAAAAATGGATGAGCAATATATAGAAAATAGTGGCACTAAACACATCTAATAAAATTTATTTTAAAAAATAGCCTAATAGTGCTAAATATATTAGGGTTTGCTTAAAAAGAAATGATAAGCTTTCAAATGTTAATACACACTACAAATTTACTTGAAGCTATTTATTGATTAAAACAAATTCACACCTCTAGATTTAACACTTTGTTAATCAACTAAACAAATAGCTTTGGATTTTCCATTGATTGTCTATATAAATAACGTTTAAATCATTTGAGACAGTTTGAATCTGATATGTTGATTTCAAAAATTAAATTTCCAAAAAGAGTATGCCTATCCATGAACATTTTGCTTACAAAATTTAAAAATATTTTTAATTATTTTTTTCCCCTTCTAAATTCAGTAATCAATATGGGAAGAGGTCTATGATTTTATTATAAGAAGTATGATGTAGACTAGACAAAGAAAAACTAAGTAGCAGATGTGAAACAGATTCTTACCTTTCTAGAAACAGATAAAGCTGGTCTTGTTCTCATCTGGAGAAGGGCAGGTCCTCTTTGAGCTGAAGTTCTAGAACTGCCAGCTTCTAAAAACTTCCCTTCATAACTTTTAGTCTGGTGAAGCAACATATTCAAATTTAGATTGAATACAGAACTATTCATTTTAGACAAACTGTCAGCACCTACAGCTAGGGAATTATAGGCCTACAACAGATAAAAAAAATGCATGCAACTTACTTCCATTTGTAACTTATTCTCAAGACTAGAAATATAAGCAGATGACAGATGAAGTAGGGATCGCAAACGATTGCTAATGATGTGAGTTTTGTCTCGGGCTGTTAACATTTCTTGGGAGTCAGCTCTAACCAGCAGCTGATCAGCTGTTTCTTTCAGCAATAAAATGTTGGATTGGTTATTTTTTAATTCGCTTGATATATCCTACAAGAAAAAGGGTAAAGAAAAAGATTGAAATACCAAAAGTATAGATCACTGCTGACTATTAGACTCTACCAAAGATTGTACTAACAACTATCTTTCTGTATTTCTCCCACAAGAATCTCTTGTCTGCACTGAGGTCCATGGGTTCACACTGTTTCAGTCTAGTCTCCAGGTCCTCCAACCACAGCTGGTAGTCATGAATTTTATGGTGGAATTCTTGACACTCAATCAATGCAATCTGAAATTGCAGTATTCGATTTATCCTTATGTCATACAGTAATAAATGGGAGGTAAATATTGTTAAAAACTTTAAATGTTTATGGACTCCAAACCTGAAGAGCTCTTTCAATTTCAAAAGCCCTGGAAAGAACAAGCTCCCATCTTCTGTTCATGTCCTGCAACTTTTTCTCAATCTGATGTGCCTTGAGATTTTTCCCCTGAAGATAGTTTCTACTGATGAGGTTAATGGAGTAGATGATTGGTTTCTTTGATTCAAGCTGGGCACTCAAATCCTGAGGAGCAATAGTGCAGAATGTTTAAAGGCACTTTTATCATAAAGTATGGACTGCAGTTAGAGAAGAACATTCCTAAAGTAGGCTATTACTAAATTGAATATTCTAAATGAAGCTCATAAAAGACCTTAAACTGTCTGATAACAACATCGAGTTGACCGATGTCCACTGGGAGTGGTCTGAGGGTGGACTGTAAGGCCTCTGCTTCTCCCAGCCACTTGAGCATGTTATCAAGGTCATGAGTGAATTGAAGAAGGTCGTGTCTGTCATGAGTGATTTTATAATCTTCATCCATGGCTCGCTTTTGTAAACTCTCAAACTTCCTTTTCACCACTGATAAGGGGAGAGAAATAAAATAGAGAGATTACACAGTGGTGGCTACAGAGGATTTTTACATCTAGCTTTTCATTATATGGTTAAAATCTGTCAACAACAAAAAGTTCCTTATTGCAATTAAATCCAGGGAACAACTCAAAGTTTCTAAGTTTGGATGATTCAATTACTTACGTGACACTTGAGCATCAGCAGTTGGAACAATTTCTGGATCCAATTCTATTTGTAGCAGTCGATGTAGTCTCAACATGTGATCAACAGCCACTTCACATTCTAATAATTGCTGAACCTACAAGAGACAAATAATTAAAATTTCCACTGCTACAAAGGTGAATGATGAGATATTTATTAAAGCCAGCACTAAGACAGACAAGCAACATGGCTGGCATGAATGAGATATTTATTAAAGCCAGCACTAAGACAGACAAGCAACATGGCTGGCATGAATGAGATATTTATTAAAGCCAGCACTAAGACAGACAAGCAACATGGCTGGCATGAATGAGATATTTATTAAAGCCAGCACTAAGACAGACAAGCAACATGGCTGGCATGAATGAGATATTTATTAAAGCCAGCACTAAGACAGACAAGCAACATGGCTGGCATGAATGAGATATTTATTAAAGCCAGCACTAAGACAGACAAGCAACATGGCTGGCATGAATGAGATATTTATTAAAGCCAGCACTAAGACAGACAAGCAACATGGCTGGCATGAATGAGATATTTATTAAAGCCAGCACTAAGACAGACAAGCAACATGGCTGGCATGAATGAGATATTTATTAAAGCCAACACTAAGACAGACAAGCAACATGGCTGGCATGAATGAGATGTTTATTAAAGCCAGCACTAAGACAGACAAGCAACATGGCTGGCATGAATGAGATATTTATTAAAGCCAGCACTAAGACAGACAAGCAACATGGCTGGCATGAATGAGATATTTATTAAAGCCAGCACTAAGACAGACAAGCAACATGGCTGGCATGAATGAGATATTTATTAAAGCCAGCACTAAGACAGACAAGCAACATGGCTGGCATGAATGAGATATTTATTAAAGCCAGCACTAAGACAGACAAGCTACATGGCTGGCATGAATGAGATGTTTATTAAAGCCAGCACTAAGACAGACAAGCAACATGGCTGGCATGAATGAGATATTTATTAAAGCCAGCACTAAGACAGACAAGCAACATGGCTGGCATGAATGAGATATTTATTAAAGCCAGCACTAAGACAGACAAGCAACATGGCTGGCATGAATGAGATGTTTATTAAAGCCAGCACTAAGACAGACAAGCAACATGGCTGGCATGAATGAGATATTTATTAAAGCCAGCACTAAGACAGACAAGCTACATGGCTGGCATGAATGAGATATTTATTAAAGCCAGCACTAAGACAGACAAGCAACATGGCTGGCATGAATGAGGTGTTTATTAAAGCCAGCACTAAGACAGACAAGCAACATGGCTGGCATGAATGAGATGTTTATTAAAGCCAGCACTAAGACAGACAAGCAACATGGCTGGCATGAATGAGATATTTATTAAAGCCAACACTAAGACAGACAAGCAACATGGCTGGCATGAATGAGATATTTATTAAAGCCAGCACTAAGACAGACAAGCTACATGGCTGGCATGAATGAGATATTTATTAAAGCCAGCACTAAGACAGACAAGCAACATGGCTGGCATGAATGAGATGTTTATTAAAGCCAGCACTAAGACAGACAAGCAACATGGCTGGCATGAATGAGATGTTTATTAAAGCCAACACTAAGACAGACAAGCAACATGGCTGGCATGAATGAGATGTTTATTAAAGCCAGCACTAAGACAGACAAGCAACATGGCTGGCATGAATGAGATATTTATTAAAGCCAGCACTAAGACAGACAAGCAACATGGCTGGCATGAATGAGATGTTTATTAAAGCCAGCACTAAGACAGACAAGCTACATGGCTGGCATGAATGAGATATTTATTAAAGCCAGCACTAAGACAGACAAGCAACATGGCTGGCATGAATGAGATGTTTATTAAAGCCAGCACTAAGACAGACAAGCAACATGGCTGGCATGAATGAGATGTTTATTAAAGCCAACACTAAGACAGACAAGCAACATGGCTGGCATGAATGAGATATTTATTAAAGCCAGCACTAAGACAGACAAGCAACATGGCTGGCATGAATGAGATATTTATTAAAGCCAGCACTAAGACAGACAAGCAACATGGCTGGCATGAATGAGATATTTATTAAAGCCAGCACTAAGACAGACAAGCTACATGGCTGGCATGAATGAGATGTTTATTAAAGCCAGCACTAAGACAGACAAGCAACATGGCTGGCATGAATGAGATGTTTATTAAAGCCAACACTAAGACAGACAAGCAACATGGCTGGCATGAATGAGATGTTTATTAAAGCCAGCACTAAGACAGACAAGCAACATGGCTGGCATGAATGAGATATTTATTAAAGCCAGCACTAAGACAGACAAGCAACATGGCTGGCATGAATGAGATGTTTATTAAAGCCAGCACTAAGACAGACAAGCTACATGGCTGGCATGAATGAGATATTTATTAAAGCCAGCACTAAGACAGACAAGCAACATGGCTGGCATGAATGAGATGTTTATTAAAGCCAGCACTAAGACAGACAAGCAACATGGCTGGCATGAATGAGATGTTTATTAAAGCCAACACTAAGACAGACAAGCAACATGGCTGGCATGAATGAGATATTTATTAAAGCCAGCACTAAGACAGACAAGCTACATGGCTGGCATGAATGAGATGTTTATTAAAGCCAGCACTAAGACAGACAAGCAACATGGCTGGCATGAATGAGATGTTTATTAAAGCCAACACTAAGACAGACAAGCAACATGGCTGGCATGAATGAGATGTTTATTAAAGCCAGCACTAAGACAGACAAGCAACATGGCTGGCATGAATGAGATATTTATTAAAGCCAGCACTAAGACAGACAAGCAACATGGCTGGCATGAATGAGATGTTTATTAAAGCCAGCACTAAGACAGACAAGCAACATGGCTGGCATGAATGAGATATTTATTAAAGCCAGCACTAAGACAGACAAGCAACATGGCTGGCATGAATGAGATATTTATTAAAGCCAGCACTAAGACAGACAAGCAACATGGCTGGCATGAATGAGATGTTTATTAAAGCCAACACTAAGACAGACAAGCAACATGGCTGGCATGAATGAGATGTTTATTAAAGCCAGCACCAAGACAGACAAGCAACATGGCTGGCATGAATGAGATATTTATTAAAGCCAGCACTAAGACAGACAAGCAACATGGCTGGCATGAATGAGATGTTTATTAAAGCCAGCACTAAGACAGACAAGCAACATGGCTGGCATGAATGAGATGTTTATTAAAGCCAGCACTAAGACAGACAAGCAACATGGCTGGCATGAATGAGATGTTTATTAAAGCCAGCACTAAGACAGACAAGCAACATGGCTGGCATGAATGAGATATTTATTAAAGCCAGCACTAAGACAGACAAGCAACATGGCTGGCATGAATGAGATATTTATTAAAGCCAGCACTAAGACAGACAAGCAACATGGCTGGCATGAATGAGATATTTATTAAAGCCAGCACTAAGACAGACAAGCAACATGGCTGGCATGAATGAGATATTTATTAAAGCCAGCACTAAGACAGACAAGCAACATGGCTGGCATGAATGAGATGTTTATTAAAGCCAGCACTAAGACAGACAAGCAACATGGCTGGCATGAATGAGATGTTTATTAAAGCCAGCACTAAGACAGACAAGCAACATGGCTGGCATGAATGAGATGTTTATTAAAGCCAACACTAAGACAGACAAGCAACATGGCTGGCATGAATGAGATGTTTATTAAAGCCAGCACCAAGACAGACAAGCAACATGGCTGGCATGAATGAGATATTTATTAAAGCCAGCACTAAGACAGACAAGCAACATGGCTGGCATGAATGAGATATTTATTAAAGCCAGCACTAAGACAGACAAGCAACATGGCTGGCATGAATGAGATATTTATTAAAGCCAGCACTAAGACAGACAAGCAACATGGCTGGCATGAATGAGATATTTATTAAAGCCAGCACTAAGACAGACAAGCAACATGGCTGGCATGAATGAGATATTTATTAAAGCCAGCACTAAGACAGACAAGCAACATGGCTGGCATGAATGAGATATTTATTAAAGCCAGCACTAAGACAGACAAGCAACATGGCTGGCATGAATGAGATATTTATTAAAGCCAGCACTAAGACAGACAAGCAACATGGCTGGCATGAATGAGATATTTATTAAAGCCAGCACTAAGACAGACAAGCAACATGGCTGGCATGAATGAGATATTTATTAAAGCCAGCACTAAGACAGACAAGCAACATGGCTGGCATGAATGAGATGTTTATTAAAGCCAGCACTAAGACAGACAAGCAACATAGCTGGCATGAATGAGATATTTATTACAGCCAGCACTAAGACAGACAAGCTACATGGCTGGCATGAATGAGATATTTATTAAAGCCAGCACTAAGACAGACAAGCAACATGGCTGGCATGAATGAGATGTTTATTAAAGCCAGCACTAAGACAGACAAGCAACATGGCTGGCATGAATGAGATATTTATTAAAGCCAGCACTAAGACAGACAAGCAACATGGCTGGCATGAATGAGATATTTATTAAAGCCAGCACTAAGACAGACAAGCTACATGGCTGGCATGAATGAGATATTTATTAAAGCCAGCACTAAGACAGACAAGCAACATGGCTGGCATGAATGAGATGTTTATTAAAGCCAGCACTAAGACAGACAAGCAACATGGCTGGCATGAATGAGATATTTATTAAAGCCAGCACTAAGACAGACAAGCAACATGGCTGGCATGAATGAGATATTTATTAAAGCCAGCACTAAGACAGACAAGCAACATGGCTGGCATGAATGAGATATTTATTAAAGCCAGCACTAAGACAGACAAGCAACATGGCTGGCATGAATGAGATGTTTATTAAAGCCAGCACTAAGACAGACAAGCAACATGGCTGGCATGAATGAGATGTTTATTAAAGCCAGCACTAAGACAGACAAGCAACATGGCTGGCATGAATGAGATATTTATTAAAGCCAGCACTAAGACAGACAAGCAACATGGCTGGCATGAATGAGATATTTATTAAAGCCAGCACTAAGACAGACAAGCTACATGGCTGGCATGAATGAGATATTTATTAAAGCCAGCACTAAGACAGACAAGCAACATGGCTGGCATGAATGAGATGTTTATTAAAGCCAGCACTAAGACAGACAAGCAACATGGCTGGCATGAATGAGATGTTTATTAAAGCCAGCACTAAGACAGACAAGCTACATGGCTGGCATGAATGAGATATTTATTAAAGCCAGCACTAAGACAGACAAGCAACATGGCTGGCATGAATGAGATGTTTATTAAAGCCAGCACTAAGACAGACAAGCAACATGGCTGGCATGAATGAGATGTTTATTAAAGCCAACACTAAGACAGACAAGCAACATGGCTGGCATGAATGAGATATTTATTAAAGCCAGCACTAAGACAGACAAGCTACATGGCTGGCATGAATGAGATGTTTATTAAAGCCAGCACTAAGACAGACAAGCAACATGGCTGGCATGAATGAGATGTTTATTAAAGCCAACACTAAGACAGACAAGCAACATGGCTGGCATGAATGAGATGTTTATTAAAGCCAGCACTAAGACAGACAAGCAACATGGCTGGCATGAATGAGATATTTATTAAAGCCAGCACTAAGACAGACAAGCAACATGGCTGGCATGAATGAGATGTTTATTAAAGCCAGCACTAAGACAGACAAGCTACATGGCTGGCATGAATGAGATATTTATTAAAGCCAGCACTAAGACAGACAAGCAACATGGCTGGCATGAATGAGATGTTTATTAAAGCCAGCACTAAGACAGACAAGCAACATGGCTGGCATGAATGAGATGTTTATTAAAGCCAACACTAAGACAGACAAGCAACATGGCTGGCATGAATGAGATATTTATTAAAGCCAGCACTAAGACAGACAAGCTACATGGCTGGCATGAATGAGATGTTTATTAAAGCCAGCACTAAGACAGACAAGCAACATGGCTGGCATGAATGAGATGTTTATTAAAGCCAGCACTAAGACAGACAAGCAACATGGCTGGCATGAATGAGATGTTTATTAAAGCCAGCACTAAGACAGACAAGCAACATGGCTGGCATGAATGAGATATTTATTAAAGCCAGCACTAAGACAGACAAGCAACATGGCTGGCATGAATGAGATGTTTATTAAAGCCAGCACTAAGACAGACAAGCAACATGGCTGGCATGAATGAGATATTTATTAAAGCCAGCACTAAGACAGACAAGCAACATGGCTGGCATGAATGAGATATTTATTAAAGCCAGCACTAAGACAGACAAGCAACATGGCTGGCATGAATGAGATGTTTATTAAAGCCAACACTAAGACAGACAAGCAACATGGCTGGCATGAATGAGATGTTTATTAAAGCCAGCACCAAGACAGACAAGCAACATGGCTGGCATGAATGAGATATTTATTAAAGCCAGCACTAAGACAGACAAGCAACATGGCTGGCATGAATGAGATGTTTATTAAAGCCAGCACTAAGATAGACAAGCAACATGGCTGGCATGAATGAGATGTTTATTAAAGCCAGCACTAAGACAGACAAGCAACATGGCTGGCATGAATGAGATGTTTATTAAAGCCAACACTAAGACAGACAAGCAACATGGCTGGCATGAATGAGATGTTTATTAAAGCCAGCACCAAGACAGACAAGCAACATGGCTGGCATGAATGAGATATTTATTAAAGCCAGCACTAAGACAGACAAGCAACATGGCTGGCATGAATGAGATGTTTATTAAAGCCAGCACTAAGACAGACAAGCAACATGGCTGGCATGAATGAGATGTTTATTAAAGCCAGCACTAAGACAGACAAGCAACATGGCTGGCATGAATGAGATGTTTATTAAAGCCAGCACTAAGACAGACAAGCAACATGGCTGGCATGAATGAGATATTTATTAAAGCCAGCACTAAGACAGACAAGCAACATGGCTGGCATGAATGAGATATTTATTAAAGCCAGCACTAAGACAGACAAGCAACATGGCTGGCATGAATGAGATATTTATTAAAGCCAGCACTAAGACAGACAAGCAACATGGCTGGCATGAATGAGATGTTTATTAAAGCCAGCACTAAGACAGACAAGCAACATGGCTGGCATGAATGAGATGTTTATTAAAGCCAGCACTAAGACAGACAAGCAACATGGCTGGCATGAATGAGATATTTATTAAAGCCAGCACTAAGACAGACAAGCAACATGGCTGGCATGAATGAGATGTTTATTAAAGCCAACACTAAGACAGACAAGCAACATGGCTGGCATGAATGAGATATTTATTAAAGCCAACACTAAGACAGACAAGCAACATGGCTGGCATGAATGAGATGTTTATTAAAGCCAGCACCAAGACAGACAAGCAACATGGCTGGCATGAATGAGATATTTATTAAAGCCAGCACTAAGACAGACAAGCAACATGGCTGGCATGAATGAGATGTTTATTAAAGCCAGCACTAAGACAGACAAGCAACATGGCTGGCATGAATGAGATGTTTATTAAAGCCAGCACTAAGACAGACAAGCAACATGGCTGGCATGAATGAGATATTTATTAAAGCCAGCACTAAGACAGACAAGCAACATGGCTGGCATGAATGAGATATTTATTAAAGCCAGCACTAAGACAGACAAGCAACATGGCTGGCATGAATGAGATGTTTATTAAAGCCAACACTAAGACAGACAAGCAACATGGCTGGCATGAATGAGATGTTTATTAAAGCCAGCACCAAGACAGACAAGCAACATGGCTGGCATGAATGAGATATTTATTAAAGCCAGCACTAAGACAGACAAGCAACATGGCTGGCATGAATGAGATATTTATTAAAGCCAGCACTAAGACAGACAAGCAACAAGGCTGTACCAGCAGATCAGTGTCTCCGTAGACATCCATTGACTTCTCCAACTCCGCCAGCTTAGTGTTGCAGTCCTCTATTGAGTCCACCAAGCCCTCCATCAACACTTCAGTTTTTAGAGACTTGTCATGTTTAGATAGATCATGTCTGGGTGAGGCTGTGGGTAATTGCATTTCTTTCTTCACTTATAGTGCAACAGTTATTTTAGTTGGAATTATAAAACTGATAATCTACAAAGTGGATTAATACAGCTATAAATGAGATGATAATAGCAGCAAGAAATGAATGAATCTAAAACACTAAAAAGTATGTACTAGGTTGATTAAAAAGTGTGTACTGGGTTGATAAAAAAAGTGTGAACTGGGCTGATAAAAAAAGTGCGTACTGGGTTGATAAAAAAGTGTACTGGGTTGATGAAACTTACCACGCCCATCTGGCACATCTCTGTCTTTCTCAATAGGAGAAAAAGTTCTGTCTCTTGGTGAGAACTTCTCAGGACTTGGTGATCGCCTTCTTGATGAAGCAAATTTAGAAGGTGATGTTGACCTTTTGCCTGATGGTGTTGACATTCTGATAGGGGATGTAAGTCTGCCTACAGGCGAGGCTGACCTTCTTAAAGGTGACGCTGACCTAATTGGGGACGGAGATTGTGACCTCCGCACAGGTGTTGTAGTCCTTACAAGAGGAGAGCTTGTCCGATGTATAGAGGAGACGGAGATTCTGCTGGGTGACCTGCTGCTTCTGTAACTGACCGATGGAGATTCAGGGGGAGGACTAGTGAAATATCTCTCAGTGCCAGCACTTAGATCCTGTGGCCTGCGAGTGCTTTGTGCATCTTTCACTGCTTGAATTCTGTCAGCAGCAGACAACGTGTGCAGTCTGTCTTCTGTTCTAGCACTAGATGTGTTGATGTCTCCCTAAGATAGACAATCGTTTGGTGAGACAGGTCCAGGTGACATACAAATGTCTGGGTGGAAACAAAGTAGGTCTCTCACCTGTGCAACAAGCAGGTGACATACAAATGTCTGGGTGGAAACAAAGTAGGTCTCTCACCTGTGCAACAAGCAGGTGACATACAAATGTCTGGGTGGAAACAAAGTAGGTCTCTCACCTGTGCAACAAGCAGGTGACATACAAATGTCTGGGTGGAAACAAAGTAGGTCTCTCACCTGTGCAACAAGCAGGTGACATACAAATGTCTGGGTGGAAACAAAGTAGGTCTCTCACCTGTGCAACAAGCAGGTGACATACAAATGTCTGGGTGGAAACAAAGTAGGTCTCTCACCTGTGCAACAAGCAGGTGACATACAAATGTCTGGGTGGAAACAAAGTAGGTCTCTCACCTGTGCAACAAGCAGGTGACATACAAATGTCTGGGTGGAAACAAAGTAGGTCTCTCACCTGTGCAACAAGCAGGTGACATACAAATGTCTGGGTGGAAACAAAGTAGGTCTCTCACCTGTGCAACAAGCAGGTGACATACAAATGTCTGGGTGGAAACAAAGTAGGTCTCCCACCTGTGCAACAAGCAGGTGACATACAAATGTCTGGGTGGAAACAAAGTAGGTCTCCCACCTGTGCAACAAGCAGGTGACATACAAATGTCTGGGTGGAAACAAAGTAGGCCACTCACCTGTGCAACAAGCATCCTCTCCACTTTAAGCTGTGTGGTGACCACCTTCTCAAACACCTGCTTGGACAGAGCCTTGAAGTCATCCAACTGGCGCTGGACTCTGAGAGCCTCTTGGCTGTCACCTTTCTGTATCAGGTAGAAGGCTGCCTGGTCTAGGTACTCCATCCTGTGGCGTCTGGTGTGTATTTCATCTTCAATACGCTAAACAACAGTAACAAGGTGTCAGTTCTAGGATAAGTCATGCAAACACATCATTATAACCATCATCTGGCCATAACTGTATCTTGACAACATCACCACAGGAAACAAATGAATGTAGGACAGATACTACAGACTCTGATGACAGACTCTTATGTCAGACAGTACTGACTCTGATGTCAGACAGTACTGACTCTGATGTCAGACAGTATTGACTCTGATGTCAGACAGTACTGACTCTGATGTCAGACAGTATTGACTCTGATGTCAGACAGTACTGACTCTGATGTCAGACAGTACTGACTCTGATGTCAGACAGTATTGACTCTGATGTCAGACAGTATTGACTCTGATGTCAAGATACTACTCACTCTGATATCAGATACTACTCACTCTGATATCAGACACTTTGGCCTCCCAATCCAAGCTGGTGAAGTCCTGTAACCTTGACAGTTGTAGGTCAATGTCCTGGAGCCAAGAGACCAGAGACTTCAAGGTCATTTCAAAGTCTTCTCTTATGCTGGCTGAGTGACGCAGCTTCTTCATCATCTGCAGATTGTCAAAACATGTTACGTGTAGGATTACGTTTGTAAGTGTAGACACACCCAGAATTATGTTTGTAAGTTTAGACACACCCAGAATTATGTTTGTAAGTTTAGACACTCCCAGAATTATGTTTGTAAGTGTAGACACTCCCAGAATTATGTTTGTAAGTTTAGACACACCCAGAATTATGTTTGTAAGTTTAGACACTCCCAGAATTATGTTTGTAAGTGTAGACACTCCCAGAATTATGTTTGTAAGTGTAGACACTCCCAGAATTATGTTTGTAAGTTTAGACACACCCAGAAATATGTTTGTAAGTTTAGACACACCCAGAAATATGTTTGTAAGTGTAGACACTCCCAGAAATATGTTTGTAAGTTTAGACACACCCAGAAATATGTTTGTAAGTTTAGACACACCCTGAAATATGTTTGTAAGTTTAGACACACCCAGAATTATGTTTGTAAGTTTAGACACTCCCAGAATTATGTTTGTAAGTGTAGACACACCCTGAAATATGTTTGTAAGTTTAGACACACTATGTGCTAGCAACATGGACTGTCATATAATGATGAAATTAGGACTAAATGCTGGAGGATTTCAGTCAGGTATCTACCCCCCCCCCCCCCCAACACCCAGTGAACAAGCATCCAGACATCCCTGACCTCTGTTACTCTCAGCTGTAAAGCATCCCATCTGTTGTTTAACATTGTCATCTGAACCTTGAGAGAGCCGTCAGCATCCGTCCTGCCTTCTTTGGCCAGCTGACGATACTGGCGGTTGATATGTTCCAGGTCACCCAGATGATCATGGACGTTGTGTTGGAGGATCTGAGATCAAACAGAGTTTTTACAACTGACAACACAAGTGGGAATCTTTAGCAGAAAATATTAACATTCTTTGTATGAATGTCAACTATGTAAATGCACTAAAATTTGATATATCACTAAATACATGTCACTATCAATGTGATGTAGCACCAGCTACATGTCAGTGCTATCTGTCTCCCATGTTGTACCTCATACTTGTTCAGCACTTCCTTAGCTGTTCTGATGTTTGTAATGTCCAGCTCAGAGTCTTGAATTTCACTTTCTGCCTCAGCCATCCAGTTAGAGAACCTTTGACAGTCATCTCGGAATATTTCCCAAAGTTGCCAGGTTTCTTCCAGTCTGCAGACAAAAGTTATGACTTCAACAAGGAGACGGAATAATTTCACTCACAAATTTGTATACAGAACAAGTTGAACATAAACAATATCTGTAAAAGACTCGCTAAAATTACCTGGTTCGTCTCTGTGGGCACAAGGCACAAATATTTCTCCATCTTTTCTCCAGGTTTTTCATGGTGTGCTGTAAAGACATAAACTCTTTTTCTGTGGGGCAGGCATCAGAGTCATGGAGCAGAACTTCACACAGATTCAACACAGATGAGATGCCAGTGCTGTGACGCTCAATGTCTCTCTGCAGCTCCTAGAGAAATATGTGATCATAGGGGCTCCATTCATCAACATAAACAATTTAAAAATATCAAGTGACATGACTAAATATAAATAAGCAAGGCGACATGACTAAATATAAATAAGCAAGGGCGACATGACTAAATATAAATAAGCAAGGCGACATGACTAAAGATAAATAATCAAGGCAACATGACGAAACTTAACTGCACCTAAGAAAATTCTTCACTACCTGATTGGTCAACATTTTGGCTTCTATTTCCTTGAAATCAGTGTCTTTAAAAGCTATCCCAGCAGTCAGTTCATTCTCAACATTGGACAGCCACTTGCTGAGATTGTTCATGCTAGTGTCCAGTTGGTGGACAGCCAGAACTGTCTCTTGCAGTTTGTGGAGCCTGAGAGTATAGGGGTTCAATGGTGATACAGAGGTCAAATGGGTGGCACAGATATTAAATGGTGATACATTAGGGACACAGGTAAAATGGTGACACAATTACATGCGATGATAAAAAGTAAAGAATCAGTGCCAAGAGATCAACATGCTGTACCTGTAATCCATGAGTGCCTGCAGGTGCTGCCATCTATCTTCCAGCCTTAAGATCTTCTGCTGGAGGTCAGATGCTCTGATGTCACTGCTGATCTTCATCAAATTCTCTGCTTGCTGCACTGTTCTAGACTTCTCCATTTCTTTCTCTTTCATTTCCCTCTTGTATTCCTGCAGCAACCACACACAAGAATAAGACATCAATTACTATCTTAAGTAACAGACAAAAACATTTGAACTTTGTATTTTATCACTAACCTTTTCCAGCTTGGCAAGGAGTTCTTCAACATGCAGATCTTTATTGGAAATGATCTTTGCCTCCATGATCTGAATCCATTCCATTAGAGATCTTATACTGTCGCCAACATTTGTCCATCTATCAAAAGTTGAGAAAAGAAGCTATATAATATGTAACTTCCAAAACACTGCAATAGTGTCTGTGAGGGCTGACCTGTGTAGGTCAAGTGTTGTGAGGGCTGACCTGTGTAGGTCAAGTGAGGGCTGACCTGTGTAGGTCAAGTGATGGCTGACCTGTGTAGGTCAAGTGAGGGCTGACCTGTGTAGGCCAAGTGTTGTGAGGGCTGACCTGTGTAGGTCAAGTGTTGTGAGGGCTGACCTGTGTAGGTCAAGTGTTATGAGGGCTGACCTGTGTAGGTCAAGTGTAGTGAGGGCTGACCTGTGTAGGTCAAGTGATGGCTGACCTGTGTAGGTCAAGTGTAGTGAGGGCTGACCTGAATAGGTCAAGTGTTGTGAGGGCTGACCTGAATAGGGCTTCTGTCAGCCTTTGTTCCCTGAGCTGTGTCTGCTGATAGAGCTCCTCCCACTGCTTGTTGAGCAGCTTGATGCGCTGGTGCAGCAGGTTCATGTCCTCTGTCTCAACCATCTGGCCCAGCTTTCTTTCTTTAGCCACCAGCTCCTGGCGTTTGTCAGCAAAGGTGGAGAAGTCCAAGGCAATGTCCTGAGGCAAGATTAGCATGTGCTTACATTTTCTTCAGAAATAACTTTTTGACATTTTTAATCTGGTATCCACATTTACTCTCAATTTGTACACATCATCATCGACCTGTCATTTGTCAACATCTAAATTTACCTGGCATTTTTTAATCTCAGCCTGCAGCTGGTCATAAGTGGTTGGAATATCAGCAGACAAAACAAGCCTGATGTCCTTCAACCAGGCCAAGATGCCCTCAATTTCCTCCTCACACACCAGCCACTCCCTGTCCACATGCTCCAGCCTGCTGCGCTGAATGTCAAGGTTGTTCAAAATTTGCTTCCAGCCTTTTTCAAGGTCAGCTAGTGTTGCCTGGGATTTGTATGAAAAGAAAGATGGAGACAAAAATAGTTTGGAACCATTATATGCAGAATGAAAGAAAATGAATAAAGAAAGTAAATAAAAATGAAAAAAAAAACCCACTGCTTACACTAATCTCTTGAGCTGATCTAACATCTGTGTACTGTAGCAGGAAGTGTCCCAGCTCCTGGACCTTCTTGTAGGTCTCTTCTTGAAGCTGGAACTCATGCTGGGAGATCTGTGGACATTGGTCACTTAAGGTCATTCAACAGTTGGTGGCAACCCATCCCATACAACAGTTGGTGACAACTTATCCCATCCCATACAACAGTTGGTGACAACTTATCCCATCCCATACAACAGTTGGTGACAACTTATCCCATCCCATACAACAGTTGGTGACAACTTATCCCATCCCATACAACAGCTGGTGACAACTTATCCCATCCCATACAACAGTTGGTGACAACTTATCCCATCCCATACAACAGCTGGTGACAACTTATCCCATCCCATACAACAGTTGGTGACAACTTATCCCATGCCAAACAACAGTTGGTGGCAACTTATCCCATCCCATACAACAGGTGGTGACAACTTATCCCATGCCATACAAGAGCTGGTGACAACTTATCCCATCCCATACAACAGTTGGTGACAACTTATCCCATGCCATACAAGAGCTGGTTACAACCCATCCCATACAACAGTTGGTGGCAACTTATCCCATGCCATACAAGAGCTGGTTACAACCCATCCCATACAACAGTTGGTGACAACTTATCCCATCCCATACAACAGCTGGTGACAACTTATCCCATCCCATACAACAGTTGGTGGCAACTTATCCCATGCCATACAAGAGCTGGTTACAACCCATCCCATACAACAGCTGGTGACAACTTATCCCATCCCAAACAACAGTTGGTGACAACTTATCCCATCCCATACAACAGTTGGTGGCAACTTATCCCATGCCATACAAGAGCTGGTTACAACCCATCCCATACAACAGTTGGTGGCAACTTATCCCATGCCATACAAGAGCTGGTTACAACCCATCCCATACAACAAAAGATGTTCTAACTTGTATGTATAAATTACCTTGATCTTCTCAACCAAGTTTCTGATGAAATACACCGAGTCCGACCCAACCTCACAGGCCCTCATTTCTTCCCCTTTCAAGGCCAGCCACTGCTTGACCTGTGTGCTGAGTGAGTTGAACTGGTGCCACTGACCAATGACATCTCTGATGATGGCCTGCCGCTGATTGACCCTCCGAGACAAACTCTGCCACTGTTCGGCCACCAGCTGCAGCTTCCTCTGGAAATCTTCCTTGTCCTCCACCTCCCCTGCCCTCAGCATCCTGTGCCCATCACTGATGATAGCCTGCAGAATCTGCTGCTGGCTGTAAGCTTCATTTCCAAAGTGCTAAAGATGAAAACATGTAAAGCATTTGGTTACTGAGGGTTTTTATATATATTACAAAAATATCATAACTATATGTGAACTACTTCTTGATTGCTTATCAGAAGCATATTGTAGACTGAAACTGTTATATCAATTTGTATTTGACTATGCAGTATGCAGTAGCCTCTCACCTGACACTTCTCAAGCTGTTCCCTTAACTGCTCTAGGTTCCCCCTGACCTCTCTAGCCAGGTCCTGTTCTGTTAGGGCTAAGAATGTCATCCAGGCTTGGCACTTGGATGTAAAGTCTTGCTGCACAAGGAGATGACCTTGCAGTGTCCTTGACCTTTCACTAGTCTCTTCATACAACCTCTGCCATTTGTGGTTAAGTTCTCTCAGCCGCACAGCGTCATATTCATTCAGGGCAAGTCTATAGCTGAATGACAGAGAAATTCATTTAGGGCGTCTATAGCTGTAATCTATAGGTCATTTAGCTTTGATACTAATGTAGATACTAGTTTGTTTTACTATTAGCAGCCTGTGCACATTTCAAACATATCCCAACTTTGACAGTGTCCAGCGTACCCCAAATCATTGACAGTCCAGCTTACCCCAAATCATTGACAGTGTCTAACTTAACCCAAATCATTGACAGTGTCTAACTTACCCCAAATCATTGACAGTGTCTAACTTACCCCAAATCATTGACAGTGTCTAACTTAACCCAAATCATTGAGTGTCTAACTTACCCCAAATCATTGACAGTGTCTAACTTAACCCAAATCATTGAGTGTCTAACTTACCCCAAATCATTGACAGTGTCTAACTTACCCCAAATCATTGACAGTGTCTAACTTAACCCAAATCATTGAGTGTCTAACTTACCCCAAATCATTGACAGTGTCTAACTTACCCCAAATCATTGACAGTGTCTAGCTTTCCCCAAATTATTGACAGTGTCTAACTTTACCAAAATCATTGAGTGTCTAATTTACCCCAAATCATTGACAGTGTCTAGCTTTCCCCAAATTATTGACAGTGTCTGACTTACCCCAAATTATTGACAGTGTCTAACTTACCCCAAATCATTGACAGTGTCTAACTTACCCCAAATCATTGACAGTGTCTGACTTACCCCAAATCATTGAGTGTCTAACTTACCCCAAATCATTGACAGTGTCTAACTTACCCCAAATCATTGACAGTGTCCAGCTTGCTGTAGTTGGTACTAAACAGCAGCAGCAGTTGCCTCAGGTCATGCAGGCGAGAATTTAGCAGGTGTTCCTCTGATGACCTCTGGGGGTCTTCAGTTTTTAAGATGACCTCAGCATTATTTAAGAACTTTTGGACAACCTACATTATAAATATGACAAGAAAAAAAACAATACAAATTTTTGTTATCGGGCATAAAAACACTTCCGGGATGTTTAAGTAAATCACACAACAAACTAAACTAAATCCCCATATAAATTGTAAGAGAGATAACCCATGATACCAGATACTAAATTAAATCTCCATTTAGAAAACTAGAGAGTCAAGTGATGAAACTGACCTCAAAAGCTTTGTTGAACCGTCCCATGAGTGACATCTCATTAGCCAGAGCTGACATATGCTGTGACAGCAACTGTCTAAGAGCTACCATCCTCTGTTCTAGCATTGTCTGCCTGGATTTTATCATGGATATTGTGGATGAATTCATATTCTTTGTCAGACCGTCACTCATTTGGGCCAGTTGTGACACTTTGACCTGATAACCATCCAGCTCTGCCTCCATTTGCTGACAAAACAAAATCACATTTTGTACAAACTCCTAGAGTCTTGCAGAGGTAAGACATTTGTTAATTCCATCACTACAACATACACATACACAGGACATTTGTGTTTTAGGAAGAAAATCAACAGTTTTATACAATTTGTCTACATGTAATGACCAGAGCTGGACCAAAGTTGTTGATTACAAGGACATTTGACTAAGGCCACTATAATGTTAAATATTTTTGTATTTCAGACTGAAGAGCTAACAAACTTACTCTGAACTTGTCCAATGCTGCTTGACACTTGAGTGGGTCGCCTTGAGACCTGATCAGGTCAGCACACAAGACTTCCTTCTTGTCTAGCCAAGCCTCCATTGCCGCGCACAGGCTTTCAAAGTTTTGCCAAGACTGAAGAGACTGCTCAAACTGGTGACAACGCTCTGTGACCCTCACATCCAGCGTCCTCCACTTGGTCTGCAAGTCTGCCAGAGTTTTCTGGATATCTATCTGAACTGATGGCTCACAAACCTGCCTGAGCTGATTGGTCAGATTTGAGAAGGCATCAAGTTGTGGGGAGTGGCTGGTCAGTTCAGACTTCAGGCCCTGGAACAATCAGAACAATGTTAACAGAATAGCATTAAAGATTCATAACTAGACCAAACACTACATTGTAGGAACTCATCAATGTTTTATGACAAGCAACAAATTCTATGATTTTTTTTGTCCCTGGTGCAACACAGTGCAGTAGTAACTAGAGAATTCCTAGAAATTTATCTTTTTCTGGCGAATTTACAAGTACACTGGTGGCATTATTCTTTCAATTTTACATTTTTATTTATAGACACAATAGCATATTTTAATGTTCTGATAAAATGTAACAGTAATGCTTATTTTTTAAATATTGTTAAAAGACTTAGCAGTAAGGCATATATTAATGAAAATCAATTGAGTTAACTGCTGCAGAACTAACCTTTAGTTTAGCTACTTGAGATCTCAGTGTGCCAATGTCCCCACCAATGAGAGTGTAGTGATTTAGAGCATATTCAATGTGGGTGACCACTTGGTTCAGCTGCATCAAGTCTGCCTGGTAATGTTGCCAGTGACCAGCCATGTCTGTAATGTCATCAAACCATGGATGCCATATACAAACATCAATTTAAAATGTATTTACCATGGATGCCATATACAAACATCAATTTAAAATGTATTTACCATTGATGCCATATACAAACATCAATTTAAAATGTATTTACCATGGTTGCCATATACAAACATCAATTTAAAATGTATTTACCATTGATACCATATACAAACATCAATTTAAAATGTATTTACCATTGATACCATATACAAACATAAATCAATTTAAAATGTATTTACCATGGTTGCCATATACAAACATCAATTTAAAATGTATTTACCATTGATGCCATATACAAACATCAATTTAAAATGTATTTACCATTGATACCATATACAAACATAAATCAATTTAAAATGTATTTACCATGGTTGCCATATACAAACATCAATTTAAAATATATTTACCATTGATGCCATATACAAACATCAATTTAAAATGTATTTACCATTGATGCCATATACAAACATCAATTTAAAATGTGTATATCTTAGAGACAATCTAATGAATTCTAACACCAACATTCTATTCTCAAAATTTTACTTGCTTATTTTGAATTATTTCATACTACATTTTCAATAACACAAAACAACAGTTACAATGTAACTGGCCATCTGACTACCTGTTATATTACAATGTAACTGGCCATCTGACTACCTGTTATATTACAATGTAACTGGCCATCTGACTACCTGTTATATTACAATGTAACTGGCCATCTGACTACCTGTTATATTACAATGTAAGTGGCCATCTGACCACCTGTTATGTTACAATGTAACTGGCCATCTGACTACCTGTTATATTACAATGTAACTGATCATCTGACTACCTGTTATACTACAATGTAACTGACCATCTGACTACCTGTTATATTACAATGTAACTGACCATCTGACTACCTGTTATATTACAATGTAACTGACCATCTGACTACCTGTTATATTACAATGTAACTGGCCATCTGACTACCTGTTATATTACAATGTAACTGGCCATCTGACTACCTGTTATATTACAATGTAAGTGGCCATCTGACCACCTGTTATGTTACAATGTAACTGGCCATCTGACTACCTGTTATATTACAATGTAACTGATCATCTGACTACCTGTTATACTACAATGTAACTGACCATCTGACTACCTGTTATATTACAATGTAACTGACCATCTGACTACCTGTTGTATTACAATGTAACTGGCCATCTGACAACCTGTTATATTACAATGTAACTGGCCATCTGACAACCTGTTATATTACAATGAAACTGGCCATCTGACTACCTGTTATATTACAATGTAACTGGCCATCTGACTACCTTTTAGATGATCCTCTAGCTGTCTGATCAGCTCAGCTAACTTCTTGCTCCTCAGCTCTAGGGCTGCCAGGCTATCTCTGACAGACTGCTGACACCCAGGTGACTGATCACTCATGTCTATCAGGTGTGTGCCCAGTGCCCTGAGTGATGCCAGCTCTGCCTTCTTGTCCTCTAGTTGATGCAGCATGGCCTGAGATAATAGTAGGTCAGAGGTGTCATGTGTATATAAAAGTAGGTCAAAGGTGAGTAGGTCAGAGATGTCATGTGTATATGGAAGTAGGTCAAATGTGAGTAGGTAATATATGTCATGTGTCTATGAAAGTAGGTCAAAGGTGAGTAGGTCAGAGATGTCAAACATGAGTAGGTAATAGATGTAGTGTGTCTATGAAAGTAGGTCAAATGTCAGTAGGTCAGATATGTCATATGTAGGTCAAATAAGTAGGTCAAATGTGAGTAGGTCATAGATGTCATGTGCATATGGAAGTAGGTCAAAGGTAAGTCAGAGATGTCATGTGTATAGGGAAGTAGGTCAAATATGAGTAGGTAATAGATGTAATGTCTCTATGAAAAGAGGTCAAATGTGAGTAGGTCAGATATGTCATATGTATATGGAAGTAGGTTAAATGTGAGTAGGTCAGAGATGTCATGTGCATAGGGAAGTAGGTCAAAGATGAGTAGGTCAGAGATGTTATTTATAGGCATACATGTGAAAGTGAGTCAAGGTTGAGGTCATAGATGTCACAGGTACATGGGAAGAGAGTGAGTTTCAATATTTTCATCTGATGAGCACTAGTATCATGGACCACAAATGTTTAAACACTGACCTGGCAGTCTTTCAAACTCTGCCTGACCCCAACTTCATGTCCAATCAGTTTGCTGTGCCTGACCTTTTCCTCTTGCTCACTAAACCATGACTGCAGTCTGTCACATGACTTTTCAAACTCTTCCCACTTGGCATGCACTGACTGATTGATAAAAAAGGTAAAGTTACAAGCACTGGCCATATTTGATTGGATGAAAACTATGTATGATAACTTAAAATTCAATAATAATACAAAGCCATCCACATGTGGATAATCAATAGCCACATGTGGAGCAGCAACCAGCTGCCATACCTCCAATGCAGCGAGACGCTCTGTGACACTTTTCTCCACTTCCATCCATTGTCTGTTCAGCTCTCCCAGCTTCTCAGCAAACTCCATCTTCTCATTGGGTACGTCTTCTTCCTCAGGCTGGGGGGCCAACACTGATTGGTTGACAAAACTGTGGGTCATCTTCTTGGTTAAAAGTTCAACTTTGTAATCCTATAGACCATAATAAACAAAACATTGATAATCTAACCAAATATTTTATAAAATCTACCATGTTTTAAAAACGAATGTTATATAAAAAAAATATTTTCATCTTGGAACATTACCTCCAGACATAGAAGATAATTTCTATTAAATGAACCAACTGGACATGTAAGGGAGACAACCATGATTACCTTATATCTCTTTAACATCTTCTCAATGTCGGCAACTGTTTTGATTTTCTTCTTGGCATCCTGCCTCAGAGACTGGCGAATTTCTTCTATCCAACTGAACAGCTCGCTCAAAGCTTGACGAGATGGCATCAAGTCCATCTGAGCTTGGTGGAGATATTCTTCTGTTTCTGAAATTCCTCTCTCAAGCAGGACCCATTCCTCCTCATAGTTTCTCAGACGATCAGAGAGCCCCCTGGTGTCAAAATCTTTGTTCTGCAGCAGCTTGTTGCCAACATCAATTACATGATTTTTTAATGTCACCTGGTTCTCAACTTCTTTGCGGAATTCCTTTAAAGGAAATAATAAATTAGTGATCAAAATATTTTTGGTAGGCAGGGAAATTGTCTTGTCACTCAACCAATCATATCACAGAACTATATAACATTCAGTGCATAAAACTATGAGTGTTGTTTGAGATATTCCTGGATAAAAAATTCCCAGCAAATACATATACACACCCACAAACATAAAATTTTTTAAAACAACCTCCCCCCACCCCCAAAAAGAAAACAACCAACAACAACACCACCAACATTATTAGAAAATGTAAAAACATAAACTGTTGAATCATGCAACATAGACAATGAATAACCCATGTGATTTTTTTAGCTACATACCAAAAGTTTTTCCACCTTAGTCCTGACAGCAGCTATGTTTTGCAGATCTGATGAAGACAACTGTTTGAATCCAGCTAGTTTTATTTTTGCCCCACTTAACCATGATGATAACAATGCTGTCTTTTCTTCAAATATCAGCAAATGATCACCTAGAGTTTCCGTCCTATAAAATGGTATTTTCAAATACAGCTTTTTTTCACGTTAAAAATAAATGGAATCCATAGAACTACAAGTTTTCAACACAATTTACATTCTCATGTGTTGAAATGGATATAACTTCTGATCATATCTATAAAGCTTACAATGACCTATTAAAATAGCACAGATAAGATTTTAAAAAAAATCATGTTATAATTCTTGATTGGAATATTCTGAGTTTTTAAAATTGGGCCAAAGTATGTTTTAATATTTGCCCTAATTTCATTGCTGTAATTAAATTTTTTAATTATAAGCAAGTGATGCAGAGAAGACCGTGACTTCCAAGGTTGCATTGTTAAAATACAAACACCAAGTTACCAAAGCTGACTGTATCAAAGATTTACCTCTTGATTTCATGGCTCAGCTCTGTGTTTAGTGTCACCCACTTTTCAGCCAAGTCTGTAATGATAGTTTCCAGTGATGAGCAGTTGACACTATGGAGGATTTGTTTACCTCTGTCAACCACATCAAAAACTGTTTGTCTTTCCTCTGCAAGCTCAGACTGTAGTGCTTTGTATCTGTTTTTTCCCAGAAATATTAAATTATAATTTTAATTAAATAAATAAAATTAATTACCATTCAACTAAAGCTTTTATTAACTGCACAAGTGCAAAAAGAAAAAAAGTGACCTGCTAAGTTTATCTTGAATGGTGATAAGTGAATCCCCACTGGTGATTGGCTGAGGTATTTTATGCTCAATGTCAGTTAAAACTTTTTGTAGCCGCATGTATTTCTCATCTAGTTCAGTCCATTGTTTTGTTAACCTCTCCAGTCTAAAAGATTAATTTTGAAAATTAAGAGTTAAAGCTATAATTAAACTTGTTAGAAAGTAAAGACAGTATAAGCTATACATTTTTTTGTTACTAATCTATTTAATTTTATTTTCTGAAAGTATTTAATTTTATTTTCTGAAAGTAAGAAAGAAAGTTAAGCAAAAAAATTCTGATCAATCGGCAAAAGCTTTGATATTTTAAATAGTTGAGTGTCACCTTTGACCATGCAGGCTGGCCTGGTCTACCATCACCGTAGTGGTGTTACTCAGGGATGAATGCTTTTGCTGAAACCTTGACCTTCCTGCTGGATCACACTGACCTGCCAATGACTCCAGCATAGCTTTATGTACCTCAAGGTCACTGAAGAAGTCCTAAAAAGTATTTTTATAGAAATAAGTTACCCATTTTTACCAGTAATTTTTGTAAATTAAAAAAAATATCTCCCTTTAATTTTTAAATAATTGAAAAATGTCTAGCCATAATCCTTAAAAATAGGAAGTACTTTATGAGCAGACAACTGCTGTTTCAAATGGTTTAAGTCCCTTGCTGAGATAGAGTCAAGCTTTAATTTCTCCTGAGCTGTTTCTAAAAATATTTCATAATCATGAATCATCTTCTGGTATTGGCCTTGTGCAGCAACAGAATTCTGAAGACTGGTTTTATTTTCCATGGCCTGAGGATTGTAAGAAAAAGCTTTGTAAAGCAAAAGAAGTAAACACCGAAGTCATTTTTTCTTATCAGCAGATACAGGAACTTGGGGAGAATAAATAGGGGAATAATTGAACAGAACATGTTGCAGTAACACTTGCAGAACAAACAAACAGAACGTGTTGCTGGAACTGTTGTAGAACAAAAAAACAGATCATGTTGCTACAACTGTCGTAGAACAAATGGAACATGTTTCTGACTTACTTTTCTTTGAATGTCCATGAATGTTGACTGTAATGTGTTTAGTTCAGACATGTTTCCATGTTCTGCAGACATGTTGGATTCTCTCAACTTTTGTAGCTGACTCTCACATTTCTGAAGCTGAGCTTCAATCAACTAAAATTTTAACATAGGAAATGAACAAAATTTATTAATTTTTGCCTGACTTATAGAAAAAAAATGAAACTACTATGAATAGGTAATCTTTAAACTGGAGACTGCATTTTAATTAAGTTGGTAGGTTTAAGAGAAGATGCAGTAGTAGTTTAAAAATAACTGGGTAGCATTTTAAAGGAAATACACTCTAAAACAAATTAAGAATAATATACAGATGTAATCAGAAACCTAGCAACATTTATATAGCTCCACCTGACTATTCTCTAGTTGGTGCCCTAGCTCCACCTACCTGACTATTCTCTAGCTGGTGCCCTAGCTCCACCTACCTGACTATTCTCTGGTGCCCTAGCTCCACCTACCTGACTATTCTCTAGCTGGTGCCCTAGCTCCACCTACCTGACTATTCTCTAGCTGGTGCCCTAGCTCCACCTACCTGACTATTCTCTAGCTGGTGCCCTAGCTCCACCTACCTGACTATTCTCTAGCTGGTGCCCTAGCTCCACCTACCTGACTATTCTCTAGCTGGTGCCCTAGCTCCACCTACCTGACTATTCTCTAGCTGGTGCCCTAGCTCCACCTACCTGACTATTCTCTAGCTGGTGCCCTAGCTCCACCTACCTGACTATTCTCTAGCTGGTGCCCTAGCTCCACCTACCTGACTATTCTCTAGCTGGTGCCCTAGCTCCACCTACCTGACTATTCTCTAGCTGGTGCCCTAGCTCCACCTACCTGACTATTCTCTAGCTGGTGCCCTAGCTCCACCTACCTGACTATTCTCTAGCTGGTGCCCTAGCTCCACCTACCTGACTATTCTCTAGCTGGTGCCCTAGCTCCACCTACCTGACTATTCTCTAGCTGGTGCCCTAGCTCCACCTACCTGACTATTCTCTAGCTGGTGCCCTAGCTCTACCTACCTGACTATTCTCTAGCTGGTCCTCTAGTGAGAGCCGCCCAGATGGTGCAAGCAGCCTGTGCATGTCCTGTAGACTTAGCCTTAGCTCAGTGAGCTCAGCCAGGTAAATGGTCCTCTCTCTGTCAGCTCTAGCCAGATCTTCTCCCTGAGACACAGCCGTGTCTCCAATCAGTTCCTCCCAGCCTTTTAAATCCTCCAAACATTTCTTTATCAGGTCTTGGTTTGTAAAGTTGTGGGCAGATGAGAAGGCAACTCCTACATGTTCAATTAAGTTGGTGACCTCCCTTTTAATTGATTGCATCTGTCTTTGTAGGTTCTAAAAACGTTAATTAAGAAAAAAATTATTCCTACTGAAACCAATAAAAATTTGACAAATAAGTTTAAGAATTGTTGAAATGACCAGACCTGGTTTAGCCTCAGATGGTCCTGACTAGCAGCAGGGCCTGTAAACAGTTGCTCTTGTGCCAGATCAAGACACACAGACAAGCTTTCAAGTGCTGACTGTAACAGAATAAATATTTCAGTCATTGCAAGAAATGTCAAATGGGAAGAACTTTTAGGTTTTAATTATCTTCCCATTCACACTTTTTCATTGACATTGTTTTTTACTTTAGTTATTTAAATTTATATATATTGTTGTTATTTGCATTAAATATTCTCATTCATAAGCTATTGTTGTATAAATAAGTTATTATTGTCTGTTCAAACTGTTATTTACATATAAACAATCTTGTCAACATAAAAATAATTGTTTAGATAGAATATTTTTCTCATGGAAAAAATAGTACCAGAAATGTCACTGACCTGGTATTGCTCTTGTATGTTGATGATGTCTTCAGCAGTTATCTGCCCCTGTACCAATTGATCCCATTGTTGGCCTATATCTGACACCAACAACCTGACCTCCTCCAACTTTTGATTGCAGCTCTCATGTAGACCTGTACTATGTAGTGTCACTTTCATCAGGTCCTGCTTACATAACAATACATTTATAATTACATTACATTTTGGTATAGCTTTAAAAAATATCTCTAATAAACCTATTAACAGAAACAAAAAAAACTCAACTTAGTCAAGGCAGAATAATTTCCTAAGTTAAGTTTCAGTAAGTACCAAGAACCAATGTATTACCCCTAGGTTATTTGAGCTCAAGATTGCCTCGAGACTTTGTTTTTTAACAGTCAGCTCTGAGCTGAGACGCTGCCAGTTGAGTCTGATTTCTGTCTCTGATGTCTGCTGATGGGCAGCGGCTCGCAGCTTGTGGTCAGAGATTTCTTGGACCAACTGCTTGTGAGACTGGAGGTCAGTCACCAGCTCCTGCTTCAAGAGAATTCATTTTATCTAATCAACTCACACACTAAACAAGAGAATTCATTTTATCTAATCAACTCACACACTAAACAAGAGAATTCATTTTATCTAATCAACTCACACACTAAACAAGAGAATTCATTTTATCTAATCAACTCACACACTAAACAAGAGAATTCATTTTATCTAATCAACTCACACACTAAACAAGAGAATTCATTTTATCTAATCAACTCACACACTAAACAAGAGAATTCATTTTATCTAATCAACTCACACACTAAACAAGAGAATTCATTTTATCTAATCAACTCACACACTAAACAAGAGAATTCATTTTATCTAATCAACTCACACACTAAACAAGAGAATTCATTTTATCTAATCAACTCACACACTAAACAAGAGAATTCATTTTATCTAATCAACTCACACACTAAACAAGAGAATTCATTTTATCTAATCAACTCACACACTAAACAAGAGAATTCATTTTATCTAATCAACTCACACACTAAACAAGAGAATTCATTTTATCTAATCAACTCACACACTAAACAAGAGAATTCATTTTATCTAATCAACTCACACACTAAACAAGAGAATTCATTTTATCTAATCAACTCACACACTAAACAAGAGAATTCATTTTATCTAATCAACTCACACACTAAACAAGAGAATTCATTTTATCTAATCAACTCACACACTAAACAAGAGAATTCATTTTATCTAATCAACTCACACACTAAACAAGAGAATTCATTTTATCTAATCAACTCACACACTAAACAAGAGAATTCATTTTATCTAATCAACTCACACACTAAACAAGACAATTCATTTTATCTAATCAACTCACACACTAAACAAGAGAATTCATTTTATCTAATCAACTCACACACTAAAACATAAGAATTTATCCATTTGAAGAATTAGTCATTTTTTAGCAATCAGGCTAAATCTTATAAAATGTCAATACTACATTTAGAACAAAAATTTCAATGAGTAGAACAAAAATTACAATAAATATTTCAACATCTATTTAGAATCAAAGTTTCAATTGAATATTGAATTAAAATTTCCAAAAATATTTAGAAGCAAAGTTTCAATAAATATTTAAAGTGTATCAAAACTAGCCTTAGAAAACTGCCTCTGCAGTGAGAGTGAAGAACTCTCTGAGTCTAATTTCAAACTGTTCATGTCTGCCATCCATTTCTGGTGCTCTAAGGCTTCTTGCTCATCCTTTTCCCTCTTCTTTCTCTCTGCCTCCTTCAGTGCAGCACGAAGATGATTTTGTTTTTCAATTGTAAACAACTTAAACTGACCAAGGTCATTCTGAGAAAAAAGGTTTTAATTGTATACAGATAAAAAAAGCAGTGTTTCTTTCAGCCATCTCTCAGAGGCAGAATATTAAACTTAAAATATATACTTTAACCATTATTCCCCCTTTCCCCTCAATTCCAGAGAAAAAAATGTCTGGAAGACTACAAAAAGCCCTGGCTTTAACTGACCAAGGTCATTCTGGGAAAAACTGATGGAAAAAAAAATCAACCAACGATAGATTTGAAAAATTAAAGTGTGGATTAAAATGTTGACCATGTAAAAACAAAGTGCCTTTCAATCCAACAAACTAATAGTCTGATAGCAGAAATAAAGTTTTATATTTTAAAAAAATGTCAAGAAAATGACCTGCAGGGCTGCAAGTTGAGACCTTAAGACCTCTGCTGTCTCTGGGGACTCACTGCCACACAGCTGATCACACTGGAGGGCCAAGTCAGACATGAGACACAACCTCTTGTTGATTTCTTCCTGAATGACCTGTAGGACACAACCAACATTAAGACTGCTTGCATAGACAGATAGCTATATATAATGCTACATTTGCTGGCAACTAACTGACTGACTTTGTTTTGATCTGACTTACTTTATTTTGATCTAGCTGCCACTGTAGATCTAGCTCATCATCCTCCAACCCATCAGCTGTAGACTGGAGTTTGGTTTCCTCTAGCCACCTGCGCAGGTCATCAACTTCTGTGTTGTAGATTTGGTAGGCTATTGCATGGTTCTCTTTCTGGGTCTTGGCCTCCTGGCAAGGTTTTAAAAGATATTTTATTCTAAACTGTCTAACAATATTCATTTTTAATCAAGAGTTCTGTTTTCTTTTCTTTTACCTGGAGTGTTTTCCCCTTATCTTCTGCCATTGTTTGCAGGTTGTGGAGTCTATCTTCCAGCATTGTAAGAGTGGACTTGGTTGTCTTATGGCCCTCTTGGTCAGAACTGCTAGCCAACTCTTGATTCAAGTCTTTTACTCGCTCAATTTCTTCTTTAATAGTGTCTATCTCTTTTAAAACTTCCTGAAAGAAGAAATTGAAAAAAAAAACGTATTGCTACTAAGATAGATTAGACATAATGGAACCAAGCGAGAATAGTCTCAAAGGTATTCGAGAGTCCCATTAAATATTTGAAAAATCATGCATGGTGTAATTAAATTTAATATTGCTATAAAATCCTGACTGTTTGGTTTTTTCGGACTTTAAAAAAGAGTGGATGTATTTGACGTTTTAGTTTTGTTGGCATTAAACACAATCTTAAAAAAAAGGCAAAAGCAATTTGGTTTTCACATGGTAATGGCTATTCAATTGGCTAGCATAAATTTTATTACATAAAATTTAGCCAAAAATGGTAGAATTAGGTCATGTGGTTTAAAATAGCATTATGTTATTTAAAAACTTCATCTGCAAAGTTTTGCAAACAAATAACTATCAATCACGGAGTTCTTGTATGGCCAATCAATGTTTATCTTACGAAAGAGAAACATCGGGTTATAACTTAGGCTTGATGAAAATAAATAGAAATGTAATCTTGAACTCAAAAAATTACTTTCAAGTTCTCGGAATTTGCACCTTTTTAAACATTGATTCTAAAAATATTAAATTTCTGAATAATTTTTAGGTCTAAAATTTTTTAAACTATTTTTGAAGTCTATTTGATTTCAAAATCTAAAAAAGCAAGTTTTTAATCCATGTCAACAATAAGATGGAAGGATTCTCATCAACTCAGTGGCCTCCATTAAAAGAGTGATGAAGCAGTACCTCATGCTCCAGCATCTGGTTGTCTAGTGAGGCAGACTGTGAGGCAGGGCTTTCAGCCAGTCTGATGGACACTCTCTCGATTTTAGCTGTCAGGTCTTGTACTGCCTGTTGGTATTGTTCTTGTTTCTGCAGAGATGCCTCCAACTGTTTTTCCTTAGCATCCATCTGAAACATTGTTTGATAGGAAAATAATGTTTTAAAAATGAGTCTTTTTTTTTAAAATACAAATAGTTACAGCAAAGATAAAAAGAATTAAATTAAAAAATTAAATGCTTAAATAAATACTTTTTGTTTGATCAAAGTTCTAATCCTTTGTATAGTTGTATGAATGAGTTTTACATCACTGCATGTACGGCACAATTTAAAGTCACTTTTATACCCAAAAGATATATATAAACAGAATCAGTACAACCATGGTGAGTGGAGTATTTCTGCAGCTTTTCCACAGTGCCTAGACATTCTCCTGCTATCTTTTAAAGCCTTAAACTATTTAGGCCTTACAAGATAGGGAAGAAATAACTGAAATCTTTTAATCTGTGGATTACACTGAACAGGAACCAGGTTTGATCATGTTGCACTTTAACCCCAAGTTACCTGGTAGAGCTAAGTGCTTGCCAAACAATATTTCAAGAGACAGACAAACATTGATCCAATAAACAAAGATATACATTAGCTCTTCAAGCCAAAAAAAAAAAAGATCAGAAAAGAAATTAAAACTTGAACTCCTTAAAAATGTTTGACCCTCCATTAATTTGTTGCATGAGTCTAGCTGGAACAAAGAAGAAAACCAAGAAAATCTTACGGATACACTAACTACTCAACGGTAATACACATATTTTTATTAGCTAAAGCATGTGTTAGCTATTGTAGATACCTCATCAACCACACTGTTTACCAATTGAAGAACACATTCAGCAACATATGTAGAAACAGCAACATCTTCAACCAGATCTTTTGAAAAATCACCATCTTGGACAAAATTTACAACTTCTTCAACAACATATTTAGCTCCATCTTCAGCAAGATTTTTAGAAACAGCAACATCTTCTAATAGATCTATAGAAAAATCACCATCTTGTACAAAATTTACAACTTCTTCAACAACACTTTTAGCTCCATCTTCAGCAAGATTTTTAGAAACAGCAACATATTCAACCAGATCTTCAGCAAGATTTTTAGAAACAGCAACATTTTCAACCAGATCTTTTGAAAAATCACCATCTTGTACAAAATTTACAACTTCTTCAACAACACTTTTAGCTCCATCTTCAGCAAGATTTTTACAAGCGTTGATAATTTCAGCTACATCTTTAGCAAGGTCAACGTATTTAGCAAAATCACACAATGATGAACATTCCTCTGGTGTTTTTAAATGTGAAGACCCTATGCTTCTATTAGAACTTGCTTGCAATGGTGTATGTAAGTCTGTTGGACATGGAGAAGCAAGCCTGGGTCTTCTCAATTCACTGGACACATGCAGGGAAACTTTCATCACAAAGTCCTCCAAGGTAATACCATCAGCATCTGCAGTGGTCAAAGTTGCTAGAGTAGGTACGTCATCTGTTGTAGACAATGTCTGATTGCTTACACAATCTGTATGAGGCAGATTCTCACTGCCTAGACAATCTGTATGAGGCACCATCTCATTGCCTAGACAATCTGTATGAGGCAGATTCTCACTGCCTAGACAATCTGTATGAGGCAGATTCTCACTGCCTAGACAATCTGTATGAGGCACCATCTCATTGCCTAGACAATCTGTATGAGGCACCATCTCATTGCCTAGACAATCTGTATGAGGCAGCATCTCATTGCCTAGACAATCTGTATGAGGCAGCATCTCATTGTCTAGACAATCTGTATGAGGCAGATTCTCACTGCCTAGACAATCTGTATGACATAATGTCTGATTGCATAGACAGTTTTTATTAGACAGTGGCTGGTTGTCGAAAGATAACTTATCAATATCAAGCAGCAGCTCCTGTTTAGATGTCAAATTAGGTTCCTCTATGCAGCAAGTGACAGCAATTTTATTTTCATCTGATTTAACGAAACGTTTATTGACCTGGGAGGAAACATTTTTAACTAGATCACCAACAGTATTGCTGTAGGTACCATGATGTGACTCCCTACTATTTGTTAGGTCACCATTGTGTTCAACTAGATCACCAACCGTATTGCTGTAGGTACCATGATGTGACTCCCTACTATTTCCTAGGTCACCATTGTGTTCAACTAGATCACCAACCGTATTGCTGTAGGTACCATGACGTGACTCCCTACTATTTGCTAGGTCACCATTGTGTTCAACTAGATCATCAACAGTATTGCTGTGGGTACCATGACGTGACTCCCTACTATTTGTTAGGTCACCATTGTGTTCAACTAAATCACCAACAGTATTGCTGTAGGTACCATGATGTGACTCCCTACTATTTCCTAGGTCACCATTGTGTTCAACTAGATCACCAACCGTATTCCTGTAGGTACCATGACGTGACTCCCTACTATTTGCTAGGTCACCATTGTGTTCAACTACATCACCAACTGTATTGCTGTAGGTACCATGACGTGACTCCCTACTATTTGCTTTGTCATGTTGCGATTCCCCAAACTTGCATGTTTGAAAGCGATGAACTAGCTGAAGTAAACTAAAGCCATCGCTTGATGAGTCACGTGACGAAGCTTCTTTACCCTGGCCGGAGAAGCAGACGACGCCATCTTCAGAAAGGTAAGACTGTTGAGGCGTGTCACATGGACGACCTTGTGCCACACCAAGGGCAACAGTTTTTCTAGACTCGCCAAGAATGTCTGGCCGTCTGCGGAACCTAAGCCTAGGAATGATAAGGATAGTTATGTAGCGTGTAGGCGGCCGTCTAACGCAGAGCGTGGATACGAACACTGAATGGATGGTGTTCACAGAATCCATGCCTGAATCACCAACACTGAACGAATGATGCTGACATAATCCACGCCTGAATCACCAACACTGAATGGATGGAGCTGACAGAATCCATGCCTGAATCACGAACACTGAATGGATGGAGCTGACAGAATCCATGCCTGAATCACGAACACTGAATGGATGGAGCTGACAGAATCCATGCCTGAATCACACGACCGGCCGCTATTTACACCAGCATAATTGTCTGCACGAAAAAAAAAACAAGCCGTGTCAGAATGTATCAGAACAGAAACCAACGAAATGTCCAGCTACAAAGCAGCATCAACGGCTGAGAGGAACAGACAGCCCCTAGTTCACCCATCGACTCGACGGACCAAGAGCTAATCGGGCAATCGCGTTGGTCGGATCAATAACTTAAAACAACTTTCTCTTCAAGCATATGATAAGGGGGCGACATAAAAGTCATATGACGAATTATCTGCAAGTGCCACAAATGCCACAGCATTTCTCCCGTACTAACAAAACAGCGCCACCGGGCGGCAATAAAACCCTATTGTTTCCTCTCCAACTTGCAACACTGGGCGGTACCTGATATCTGTGTTTGATAAACGTGACCAACGACTCGCAAACAAAGAATGTCCTATCCGTGTCCGCTCAGTGTAAGGTTGTTTTTTTAAATATATTTTTCTTGTCCCAAAAAACTTTTTTGTGTGAGTTCTGCCGGCAAAAGTCTACTGTTGCTAGTAATGCCGGCTAAATTTCTTGGCTGAGTTTACTTCCGACAAGAGCTTCTCGTAAATGTGTTTCTGGCAAGTTTTCTGTCCGTGTGTACTGCCGGCAAAAGTTTTCTGTCCGTGTGTACTGCCGGCAAGTTTTCTGTCCGTGTGTACTGCCGGCAAGTTTTCTTTCCGTGTGTACTGCCGGCAAGTTTTCTGTCCGTGTGTACTGCCGGCTAATTTTCTGTCCGTGTGTACTGCCGGCACGTTTTCTGTCCGTGTGTACTGCCGGCTAATTTTCTGTCCGTGTGTACTGCCGGCAATTTTTCTGTCCGTGTGTACTGCCGGCAAGTTTTCTATCCGTGTGTTGCCGGACAATTGTATGCCCCGTATATCGACGTCTAGGCCTTTATATTGAACCGGACTAGTTTAGATAAGTAACTGAGCCTATTTATCCTCGAGTTAATTATCAGGCAAAGAACTGTGCATATCAGATATAGAGACAAATACATTTGAGACTAAGGACAAAGACATCAAAAGAAACCGTCTGGCTCTCCTGGTGAGAAATCATCAGACTAGACCCCGAGAAAGTTGGGGTTAAACCTGGGTTGGCTGGGGTTAATCTAGTACTTTTAGCCTAACTTGCCATGTCTCTATTATGTTAGACCTATTCACGTGTCTTTGTGGGGGCTGATCTACTGTTTGCGCCGGTTCATATTAACTGACAACTGAATGGAACTGACACAAAGTCACTTCAAGCTGAAGAGCTTTCTTTATTGACTAGTCAATATTTATTGATCTAGCAATCTGTTTACCACCATACAAACAGGTGTGTACAGCTACACACATACAGACAAGCGTGTAGCCCGACAAACACAGCTCATTTGCTGAGGATGACACACAAGTCAAGTTTTCTGAACTAAACGACAGACCGATGTGAGGGATATATGGTGGGAATGTCAGACAACAGTCAGACAAGAGTATGCGCTTGCGTAGGACACATGGAGGAAAAGGGTCCAGCCAGAGTTTCTTCCAGGCATCCCCCCCCCCCGAAAATTCAAGTGCCCCTCCGTAGAAAAAAGTCTGGAAGAAACACTGGGTCCAGCCCCCCCCCCCCCCCCCCCAAAGGGCAGTAAGTGGTTAGAAGTAGCCATGATGATGGAACATGTATAAGCTGAATACTGCATCATTGTCAAGTTTTCAATGGCAGACATTATTTGCGTTTTATTTTATTGATATGTACACCCATGTTTTTACAACTGAGTTGTATGCGTGTCGTTCCCAGTGATGCAGACCATGGTTCAACCTGCCGGTCTCTATTTGAATACCATGTTAAATACTTATAATATTCAACCCACTAGACATGTTACTCCAGTATGTTATGAGGCTATAAGCTGCCACTGAGTATGATCATATTTTCAATAACAATGCAAAAGGACTGGCAATAAAAGTCCAAAATGAAATCGTCAACCGTTTAAAAAGATTTAGAGGCTATTGGTATATGGCGTTGAATGCACTAGACACGTCACATCAATGTCTGCCCTCTGTCGTCATGTCGTGCGCTCTACCAATCATATTCACCTGCTACTACGTCACGTGATTTCTGACAGTTTGGCATGCCAACTTGAGACAGATACTGCTACACTAAATACGCGACCAAGTTACTGCCATAAAATACGTCATTACGTCATAAGAAATATCGCATATTTCTACAGCCAAAAAAAAAAGTTTGATAACACCGTGAAAATGAAAGGTGCTTGAGAAAAGCCGCCATTCAAACAGCAGTAAAGAGTTGTTGAACACGACAGCTATAAACCCCTGCCGTATTTCGTGGTCATGACTTGATGTTTTCATCACACAGATAAGACGCTCCGACAGTAGGCAATCGTCAGACAATGGTCCAGAACTTGTACGGAACACTTGCAACAAGATTATAAAACCTTTCACACATTCACACAGCATTATAAGTTTACCACAAAAAAGGCATGAAAAGATTAGAGCAGTGTAATCTCCCTTGATCGCGAGTGAGAGAAACATACAATAGTAGAATTTCACACATTAAAAAATGATCTTTTAGGTAGGTGCACGAAAACCCCACAATAAAATAACTGATTTCACCGCAACAGCCCACGTCATGTTTTGTTTGTGTTAAATTTCTGTGAGGTTCTGGTGTAGCTAGGGTAAATTTAGTAGTAGTTCTGTATGTGAACATAGCGGAGAGGAGTGTTTAAAACTCTCTAATCTAAATGGACAGAGCTAGAATAAAGTTACAAAAGATCACTATAAACTGTGTTTGTTAATACTCTCTAATCTAAATGGACAGAGCTAGGATAAAGTTACAAAAGATCACTATAAACTGTGTTTGTTAAACTCTCTAATCTAAATGGACAGAGCTAGAATAAAGTTACAAAAGATCACTATAAACTGTGTTTGTTAAAACTCTGTAATCTAAATGGACAGAGCTAGAATAAAGTTACAAAAGATCACTATAAACTGTGTTTGTTAATACTCTCTAATCTAAATGGACAGAGCTAGAATAAAGTTACAAAAGATCACTATAAACTGTGTTTGTTAAACTCTCTAATCTAAATGGACAGAGCTAGAATAAAGTTACAAAAGATCACTATAAACTGTGTTTGTTAAACTCTCTAATCTAAATGGACAGAACTACAATACAAATTACCTCCTGCTGAAGTTTGTTCCAAACGTCATCGCCTACATCTGTTTGCTAGAAAAATATAACAGTTCAACTGTGTCAATGCGATCTAAACTATCAGTTATTTGTTACTGTCTCTAATCATATCGAGCGTTTTTTAAAAATATTATGATGTTAAGAAAATTAAATTAAAAAAAAAATTGTTAGTGAAGCATTTCCAATGGAAGGCAAAGGCCCAAAAAATAGCATACAATGAATATAAGAGATGTACATAAATGTTAAGTAAACGGATTTTCGACATAGGTCAATACAACATAAAGATAAAAAGACAATGATACAGCTAAAACTACTTCGTGTTCAATTATACCATGCAATATGCGATGTGCAGATAGGGTGCTAATATCAGGTTGACTATAGAAAAGGAGAATGGAACTGTAGTAAAAATAAACTTTACAAGTTGGAAACTTTACTGTATTTGAATAGAAATAAAAATTATTTGAACTGATTGAAAATATGTATTGATCAAATTAATATGCTCAATGTTTTATAAGCGTTAATGTGTAATCTAATAAAATGGTGTAAACAAAAGAAAAAGTTAATCGCTGAATGTAGGACTGGTACTACAGTAACTTTAGTCAGCACACATACACAAGATGCAGTGGTTAAAATGTGGTGCTGAGTTAAATGGTGCTGTGTTACCTTGCCGGCTGTACGTGGTGTGTTGACAGACAGCATGCGGATAATTTCCGTGGGTACTCCACCAAAGACGGGAGGGTCCTCGAGTGGGCACACACTACTGGTCAGTTGCTCGGCCAGAGAACTGACCCGTCCAGGCGGCGAGAAATATTTGGACGCGGGGACCGTGGGACCTACCTCAACTGCGGGTTCCAGTGTCGTGGTGAGTGGACTGTCCAGCGAGCGGGTCAGGCTCAGGCTGCCCGCTAGCTCGTGTGACGGTGAGGCCAGGGAAGGGATGTTGTCGCTCCACGTCGGCCTGGGTATACTGTCTGTACGGGGTGGGGGGATTTTCTTGGGCAGTTCAAAGGACAGCGACGGCAACTCTCTCTCTGACGCCGGGGACTGTCCGGCCTGGGAGTCACGTGAAACATTTATGTCCGAGTCAGAAAACATTGACGCCGGAGCGTCCGAGAGTCGCGGCGTGTCGTAGACGAAGGTTGGCATTGTGTCGTAGAACAGGTTGCTGGAGGTTGGCAGGGGCGAGGTTCCTCTCTGGTGCTGGGCCGCCGCTGAGAAAAAGTCGCTGTAGGCCGACTCGGGGAGATAGTGTTTGCGGAAGACATTGGGGCTGAGCTGGGCGCTGTCCAGGAAGAGTTGCCGCTGTTTCTCCACAATCTCGTTGACCTTAATTTTGTCCTGCTGGATCTGGGCTGTCAGAGTCTGAAACATAACCAGTGCTACAGGCAGTGCTACATGCAGACACACAGAGCAAGACAGTGCTACATGCAGTCACAGAACAAGACAGTGCTACATGCAGTCACATAGCGACACAGCCAGACAATGTCAAGACAGTGATGCTACAACAACACAAGGAATGACACATAAAAAAAAGTATTTAAGAAGTTAAACGTGAATATAAGCCTGGCTCCCCTGCCACAGTCAGCGGTGGTAGAAGAAGCTAAAGGACATACGTCATACATCATGCCAGTAATCAGTTTTGGTACAAATAGACACACATGCTAACAACATTTCTGCGAGAGAGATACATTCCTAATTCAATATTATAAATAGCTTATATACAAAACAACAAAACAGCACAGAAGTATATTATGTTGATAAAATGCGTGTTTGTAGAACAACATACGGACATTGTTGGTGCTGCACCAGCACAAGTAGCTACACACAACAAACATGCAACTGTAGCGTCACAAGGCTGGAGGTCCGCACCCAGACACCTCATTTACAAGTCGCAAACATTAAATAAGAAAACATTGCTTTACCTAGTTAAGATAAAATAGAAAAGGGAGAAGGGGGTACCAGAGCAAAAATACACAAATGTTGACGGGTCTGGCACCGATTGACACCCTCCCGACCTTGTGACGCCACTGCTTACAAGTACAAAGGCCATGCAAAGAACAGGACAACATCCAAGCGAGAGACTCACATTTCTATCGGCGATCTGCTGCTTGAGGGCGGCAACACTGGTGGCCGTCTCAGACGAGGCTTGGAGTTTCTCCTCGGCTTCAGCAATGGTCTTCTCCAGCTGCTGTCGCTCCCTGTCGTAGCGGTTCTGCTGCATGACAGCCAGCTGTAGACTCTCGCGCTGTTCTCGAGCAGCCGTCTCCAGGTGGGTCATTTCTGATGTCAGGCGGATTGCAGGGGTCAAGGTCGGCTCGCCAGACGCCGTCAGCTCATCTGTCTGACTGTTGGTGTCCGGACTGCGGGCCACGACCTCATCAGCTAGCGCCTTGTTCTTGAGCACCTCGTCGTACAGGCGCTGTAACAGAGAGGTCAGTGTAAAGGAGACACTTTAATCACAGGGACGCTAGGTCAGTGTAAAGGAGACACTTTAATCACAGGGACGCTAGGTTAGTGTAAAGGAGACACTTTAATCACAGGGACGCTAGGTTAGTGTAAAGGAGACACTTTAATCATAGGGACGCTAGGTTAGTGTAAGGGAGACACACTTGATAGATGCGTTAGGTTGATGGACACACTTCAATCATAGGGACGCTAGGTTAGTGTAAGGGACACACACTTTAATCATAGGGACGCTAGGTTTGTGTAAGGGACACACACTTTAATCATAGGGACGCTAGGTTAGTGTAAGGGAGACACACTTGATAGATGCGTTAGGTTGATGGACACACTTCAATCATAGGGACGCTAGGTTAGTGTAAGGGACACACACTTTAATCACAGGGACGCTAGGTTAGTGTAAGGGACACACACTTTAATCATAGGGACGCTAGGTTTGTGTAAGGGACACACACTTTAATCATAGGGACGCTAGGTTAGTGTAAGGGAGACACACTTGATAGATGCGTTAGGTTGATGGACACACTTCAATCATAGGGACGCTAGGTTAGTGTAAGGGACACACACTTTAATCACAGGGACGCTAGGTTAGTGTAAGGGACACACACTTTAATCATAGGGACGCTAGGTTTGTGTAAGGGACACACACTTTAATCATAGGGACGCTAGGTTAGTGTAAAGGAGACACACTTGATAGATGCGTTAGGTTGATGGACACACTTCAATCATAGGGACGCTAGGTTAGTGTAAAGGAGACACACTTGATAGATGCGTTAGGTTGATGGACACACTTCAATCATAGGGACGCTAGGTTTGTGTAAGGGACACACACTTTAATCATAGGGACGCTAGGTTAGTGTAAAGGAGACACACTTGATAGATGCGTTAGGTTGATGGACACACTTCAATCATAGGGACGCTAGGTTTGTGTAAGGGACACACACTTTAATCATAGGGACGCTAGGTTAGTGTAAGGGACACACAGTTTAATCACAGGGACGCTAGGTTAGTGTAAGGGAGACACACTTTAATCACAGGGACGCTAGGTTAGTGTAAGGGAGACACACTTGATAGATGCGTTAGGTTGATGGAAACACTTGATAGATACGTTAGGTTGATGGACACACTTCACTCATAGGGACGCTAGGGTAGTGTAAGGGAGACACACTACAATCATAGGGACGCTAGGTTAGTATAAAGGAGACACTTCAATCATAGGGACGCTAGGTTAGTATAAAGGAGACACTTCAATCACAGGGACGCTAGGTTAGTATAAAGGAGACACTTCAATCATAGGGACGCTATGTTAGTATAAAGGAGACACCACAATCATATGGACGCTAGGTTAGTATAAAGGAGACACTTCAATCATAGGGACGCTAGGTCAGTATAAAGGAGACACACTTGTTAGATGCGTTAGGTTGATGGACACACTTCAATCATAGGGACGCTATGTTAGTGTAAAGGATAAACAATAATTAGAAATGCTAGGTAAGTGTAAGGGACACAAGTATTTGGCTTCAATTAATAAAAAACACAACATATACATATGACGATGAAATAAAGCAAAAGCTTTGATCGTCTGTTGCAGGTTTTTGTCTGTGATGTAATCAGCCTAACCGTAAAGCTCCGTGTTTACACAACGGATTTTTCAAGTATTTGTCGATAATGTTTTCATTTTGTTAACTGATTTTCTTTTGGGAAAGTAGTCAGAGGGCACCATTAGGGGACGTAATACAGGGAAGCTGAGATAACAACTTGGGCTTAAAAAGACATATGGCAAGGTAACTTATTGCTTAATTAACGGTGTTTTAAATGAATATATGACTACTCAACAACTGACACAATTACACACATGCTATAACAAACCAGAGACATGAGCTACCCAGCGTCAATTAAAAAACTAAGTTACCCGTTGGATCTATCATAGATAATGCATATAAAATAAACGCGTCAGTTACTTAGCCAACTGACGCAGTGTACACTTGATATTAATGATGCATTTTTCTATAGTCAGTTACTGATGTAGGGTTTGTATCTCTCTTATTAGTAAGTTTACAGGGGTCGGCGTGGTGTAGTCGGTAAATCTCATGGTTGCTAAAAGTCTCGAGTTCGAACCCTCGGGCAGATATGGCTCTTCTAGGAGACAATTCCAAAAATCAAACAACTGCTGCCTTGTAGTCTGTTCTTGGTTGGAAGCAAATCCAAAAGAAAAGCAGGCTGATATTGGAGTCAACGGCCTCAATGGCACATAACGAGTTGATAAGTATACCTATTTGTGTTGGAGGGGATCCAGTATCTGTACTTAAAATTGTATTCAAGTCGCATATACAATTAGTTGAAGTGGACAAGGAATTGTTCTTTTTTATAACAAGCTTTTATTTCACTTGCTTCATCTGTCTGTCTATATGTCGTCATGAATCAAGATTGCCGAGCGAAATTTCTATCACTTTTAACTTTAGCATACTGACATCAAACTTGACTTAATCGGATGACTAATAACTTTTAAAATGAATTAATTAAAATTTTCTAAGTAAAGTAGGTTTACCTGCTATCATACGTGCATTTTCATCTTCATTTGGTGCGCAATACTTATTAATCAAAGAATTAAATTGTATTAAAATTTTTAAAATACTGGGGAAAAAAATGATAAATAAAGCGGGAGTGATGTCCCCTAAACTTTCTCGAATTCACTTATATAAGACTACTCAATTTTTAATTACTTAAACTTTTGAAAATAGAATAGAATATGATAGAACAAAGAATTGCTCATCAAGTGAACAGCAAACAATGTGTGTATAATAATAGTGCGGAATATTAGTACTTTATAAATTCATATGCGTTTATAAATCGGAAATAGCGTAAAGTACTACTTCCGGTACAAGGAAACTAATCAAAATTTGACACAAGACAGAATTAGATTTTTTAATTATATGTTAAAATTTTGTCTATCCATCATAAACACTACTCAAGTTATAGGCTTTTAAAAAACCAAAAGTAGAATACGTTCCACTTCCGGTTACCGGAAATTGCTCAAAGTTGATACAGAAGTAAAAATTTTATGTGATACTTGCTTATGAAATTTCATAAACCTAGCTGTAACGGTACTTAAGTTATCGTGTTCACAGACACACACAGACAGAATGGCAAAGCCAATTTTTTTCCGACTCGATTACTCGTAATACGCCGAAATTTTGATAAATCTGGATTTAGAATTTTTGCCCGATTAAAATAAGTCCCCTATACTCCGTATATGATGAAGTACTGAGGTGTAAAACGGTGAAAACTGTCAACATTTCATGTGATTATTGTGCACGATTACAATACTTCCTCTATACTCTGTATACGAGAAAGTCTAAACGTTGTAATCACATTGTAAATTGTATTGAAAGAGAATCATTTATTCACTACTTTTTAGTGCATTATTACATAAAAGCTTGTTATTAAAATGTTTTCAATGCATTTTCCCCCAATATATTTATTATTTTTTTTTACCTCCGCAATGGTTTCACCTCATTTGCCACCCCGCCTCCTACTAATTAAATTAACGACTATCACCAATCGTTAAATTAAGAGTTACACTTACATGTTGCAGGACAACTTGAGCATCCCTGAGACTAGCAACACTGTCTTCAGTGCTGGTAACAACAGCGGGCACACTCGCGTTATGGGTGTCTAGAGTAACACCAGCAGCAGTGTCGGATTCAGCTTCCACTTTATCAACGCCATCTACCGTATCAACAGTGTCAGAAACAACATCCACCTTATCAAGAGTTTCAGTAAAAGTAACTACTGTATCAACAGTGTCAATAACACCATCTACCATATCAACAGTGACAGCAACACCATCTACCATATCAACCATGCCACCATCAACATTATCAAGAGTGTCAACACTACGCGTCTCCGACCTGTCGCCAGAATGTTGTAGAGCTGCTGCTTTCTTTTTCTTCCTATCTTTCTTAGATTTTTTACCCTTCTTCTTCTGGCCTGGTGCCATCAGTGAACTGGCTGACAGTGACACTTTACTCGTGTCACCACTAGCTGACAGTGACATTTTAATCGTGTCACCACTAGCTGACAGTGACATTTTACTCGTGTCACCACTAGCTATGTCACTAGTATGTGAAGTACCCGTGCTGGAGAGGCCCGTGACGAGTGACTCAGGGACAACCTGACTGTCCACTTCCAGAGTTCGGTCAACCTGAGTATCCACAGTTTGATCAACCTGACTGTCCACAACTTGTTCAAATTGATTGTCCACATTCACGATACTGTCAACCCGTCTGTCCACTTCCACAATTTGGTCAACCTGACTCTCCACAATTTGGTCAACCCGACTGTCCACTTCCACAAGTTGGTCAACCCGACTGTCCACTTCCACAATTTGGTCAACCTGACTCTCCACAATTTGGTCAACCTGAGTGTCCACTACCACAATTTGGTCAACCTGAGTGTCCACAACTTGTACAATCCGACTTTCCACTTCCACAATTTGGTCAACCTGACTGTCAGCAACTTGGTCAACCTGAGTGTCCACTTCCACAATTTGGTCAACCCGACTGTCCACTTCATCAATGTGTTCAACCCGACTGTCCACTTCGACAATGAGGTCCACTTCCTCAATTTGGTCAACCCGACTGTCCACTTCCTCAATTTGTTCAACCTGACTGTGTTCAACCCGACTGTCCACTTCCTCAATTTGGTCAACCCGACTGTCCACTTCCTCAATTTGGTCAACCAGACTGTCCACTTCCTCAATTAAGTCAACCCGACTGTGTTCAACCAGACTGTCCACTTCCTCAATTTGGTCAACCCGACTGTCCACTTCCTCAATTTGGTCAACCCGACTGTCCACTTCCTCAATTTGGTCAACACGACTGTCCACTTCCTCAATTTGGTCAACCCGACTGTCCACTTCCTCAATTTGGTCAACCCGACTGTCCACTTCCTCAATTT